CTTCTGAGTTTACATCAGCCAAGGGGCACCCCCAGAATGCCAGGAGTCAGGGCGACGCCCCGGGAGGGAGAGGCACCCAGAGCGCGATGACTGCTCCCTGCCTGCCGTGCCCCCACCGTCAGCGCCGAGACGGTTTCCTGCCCAGGGTCAGTGCTGGCGGGGAGAGCCCGTAGCTGCTTCTTATGGAGCGTCCAGCCCACAAGGGGGGCACAGGAGGAGCAACTAGACAGTAAACTAGCCGAGCAGAGCTGGAAAGGGGGGGCCGGAGCTGTGCCCCCCAGCTCGGTAGCTGCTGAGCGACGGGCGCGCCGTGTTTTCATGCAGCTGCGTAAGGGACACGCTGTTGGCACATTCTCAGAGAGGCGGCGGCTGAGGGTCCGACAGGGCAAGCGACGGGCCGTGGCCACGCAGCCCGGACTTGGCAGGGCCCGGCCAGAGCCCGCAAGCCCGACGCGGCCCCTGGAGCAGCAGGGCCGTCCTCACCCCGCCCCGCGCAGGCCCCTCCCGAGCTTCGGGGTTGCCTCAAAGCGTGTAGACTAGAATTTCAGAACCGGAGGAGTCAGAAGAATACGAAGGAGCAGAAGCACCTGTTCAGAGGCTCGCCCGCGTGCAGCTTCTTAGAGGACCGTGACTTGGGCTCTTCCATGTGGGCTGGGCGGGGTGGGCGGGGGTGCGGGGCGGGGCCGCAACAACACTCGCCGTGGAGAAACAACAGCCGCTCTCACCCCACCAGGAGCCCAGCCCCCCAGGAGCGCCCGCGGGCTTGGGGGTGACAGGAGAAGCCGCCGGGGGTGACAGGAGAAGCCGCCGGGGGTGACAGGGGAAGCCGCTTGGGGGTGACAGGGGAAGCGAAGCCGCTTGGGGGTGACAGAAGCCTCCGGGGGTGACAGGAGAAGCCGCGGGGCTGCTCACTCCTGGGGGACTTCGCCTCTGGGGCGGGAGGTTTGGGGGAGCATGAAGCAGCGCGGCCAGCAGAAGGTGCCCCGCAGGCGGCTCGGCGGGCGCAGGCCGGGCGCGGGCGTCCCGCGAGCAGCCGGAGCAGCTGCCGGAGCCGCGGGGCTCCCCAGGCGTCCCGCTCCCTGCCCGGCCGGGGCTCGGGGTGCCCGGGCGCCCCTGCCGGCCCCGCTCCCCCCCCAGCCGTCTGGCCTCTTTCTGCCTCGGGGTCCGCTGTGTCCCCAGAGCCGTCATCTTCCCCCTCGAGAGGAAACGGGGGGCTCGTCTCAAGGGGTCAACGGTGCAGACGTTCCCCAAGACACGGAGCTGGGGCTCCCGGGCCTGTGGCGCTGCAGACCCGCCCCCGCAGGGCCGGCCCGGGACCCGGGGACCGCGCGGGGACCCCGGCGCCTTTCCTTGGCGGTGCCCACTGACTGCACCGCCGCGGAGCGGGCGTGGGGTGCCCAGCCCCTCCCCGCCCCCATCCCCACCCTCCCCTCCCCTCCCCCTCCCCCACCCCCTCCCTCCCCCCGCCCCCCAGGCCCGCCCCGCATGCGGCTCCTCCGCCGGCGCTCGCTGCGGGGCCTCCTCGCCGTGGCCCGGCCTGGCCCCCGCGCGTGGCCGGTGGAAACCCAGGAGCCCGCGGGCGGCCCCGCCCCCCGCCCCCCGCCTTTCGCTGCCGAGAGGTCTCCCCGAGCCTGCGGCCTGCGCGCCCCCCACACCAGCGCCCGCCCGGCGCGGCTCCCCGGCCGGAGAGGGGAACCAGCCCGCGGCTCCTCGCGGGAAGCGCCGGCGGCTCCCGGCCCGTCGCGACGGCCGAGCTCTGTTTCGGGTCGGCCTCGTCCCGGCCGTGGGGGCGTCGCTGCTCGCTCCACGCGGGCGCCTCGAGGCCCCCCGGAGGGTCGCCCCGAAGCGCGGGAGCGAGACTCGGCTGGGCGGGCGGCGGGGAGCAGGGTGCTGGCCGCGTGTTGTCCGTTGGCGTGGAAACGGTCACTGCGGCTTCTGGAAGTGAATCTCGGCGCCCCCCCCCCCCCCCGCACCCCAACAGTACATCCGAAAGCAGGTTGACACGGCGGCTGCTCCCCAGCCAGTCGGGGCGCTCCCGAGGCGGCAACTAGACGCAGTCGGCCCCTCGCCCCGAGGCTCGTCCCGGGGTCCCCACGAGGGCCTGAGGCAGGGGTCGTGTGGAGCCCGGCATGGGGAGCCCCCTCTCTGCTCCGTGCACAAGCGCGGGGTCAAGTCTAATTTGCACGCGAGGCCCCGGGAGAGATGCGCCCCCTCGCCAGGCCCGGGGGCGGTGGGGCTGGGCCTGCGCTCCCGCCCGCCAGCCGTCTCCCTCTCGGGCTGCGCGGCTGAGCCGTGGGTGAGGGCGCGCTGCTGCGCCCCGCCGGGCTGCCTTTCACGGGCACCTTTCTGCTGCCCAGACACGGGCGTCCCCAGGCCGGGGCTGAAGCGGGAACATGACGGGTGAACGCGCACACCCGCTCGGGCCTTGAGGGCAGAGACCGGAGTCTTCCTGGCCGCAGAGCCCTCCTGCGCTGCACCGGGGTGTGAGTGTGCGTGAGTGCCGAGTGACGGTGAGTCAGGGAGGGAGGGGCGAGAGACTAGGTCACAGAGCAGAGCAGACCCTGCTTGAGAACCTGGAGCTGGGGCGGCTGTGATGTGGCCCCAGGGGCACCTTTGGGCTAAAAATCAGGGTGGGCGTGGGCTTAACTGAGGGGCGCCCAAACTGTTAAGGGGAGAAACCCGCGTTGTCCCCCGAGGACTCAGGCCCACCCCGGCCCCTACAGGCGGGTCACCAAGCTGTGTGCGCCCCGACGCCTGCCGCAGGGGCCCCGAGCATGCGGCGGGAGAGAGGCGCAGGGGAGAGGGTTCCACTCAGGCTCCCGGCCAAGCTCCAGATCAGCCCCCTCGCGGGCAGCGGCTCAGCCAGCCAGGCAGGGCCCGAGGCGGCGTGGGCAGGCCCGGGCAGAACCCGGAGGACGGTCCAGGAAACACGGACGGGTGGGCGGGCTCGGGGCCGGGAGAGGGAGGAAATGAAAGTTCAGCACCGGCTCCTCCGACTGCATCGATCCCAAGGTCAAGCGGCACCGCGCGGCCTCTCGGGAGCTGGGCGGTGCTGCCTGCGGGGCTCGTGCTGGGGTAGAGCCCAGGAGAGGCGCCTGCCACAGGACTTTGGTCCCCGCTCCCCGGGCACCCCCGGCAGCCCTCTCCAGGAAGCCAGTCCAGCAGCGGCAGGGCAGCCCGGCAGGGCTGCTGGTGATGCCGGGGGTGTTGGCTGCGACTTCTGTCAGGGCCGCGGAGCAGGGAGGAGCTGTTAGGTGTCTAATCTGGTGGGGTTGTCCCTGACAGACCCCTTGGCGTCCGGAGCCCCAGCCCCTCTCATGCCCATCAGCTCGTCGCGGGGGCGGGGTGGGGGGCTGGGTGGAAGGAGCTGCCTCTTGGGGTCAGGCTCCAGGTATGTCCCGTCACTGCCACACAAGTTGGGTTTCCAGTGGCCGGTGAACTGACCTCTTGCCGCTTGGTCTCATCTGAAACCGGAGTCTTGATGCCCGCCTGTTACGTTGCCGGCAGAATTCATGTGTGGCACAAGTTAGGTGCCTGGTGTACCTGGCTCTGAGGGGCCGCCGCGTGATTCTCCACAGTGACTCGAGCATTTAACTAGGGGTGGGAGGCTGGGGGGTGCTTAGGGGGAGTCTGCTACTTGCATCTTTTTTTTTTAAAGATTTATTTATGCATGCAAGAGCTGGGGTACAGGCCAGAGGTGCGGGGGGTGAGAGGACTGACCAAAAACAGAGTGGGGTGCAGGACAGGCAGATCCACTGAAATCCGCTGCTGAGGGGAGCAGCGGGGAGACAGGAGAGGTCTGCTGTGCCCTGTGGGTCGCTCCCTGGCCAGCTGGGGATCAAATTCGTGCTGCAGCAGAGGCTGCAGATTGCTTCACAGTGCGGTGCTTAACCCCTCGCGCCCCCAGGAGGCCCTGCTACTTGCATCTTAACATGAAGATTTGCCTGGCAGGTGAAATTGGTTATAACTTGACAGGTCAGTGATTTGTGCCAGTGAACATTATTAATGACCATACTTTTTGGTAATAAATATTAACACCTGTAAAGATCATAAAGGTGATAGATTTGCTAAAGAGAAGCTTCTGGGGCCTCCGTGGTGGCGCAAGGGGTGAAGACGCAACCTATGAAGCTGTCGGCAGCCTCTGCAGCATGAGTTCGATCCCCTGCCAGGGAGCTACCCACATGGCGCAGCAGACCCCTCCTGCTTTCCCGCTGCTCCCCTCAGCAGTGGATTTCAGTGGATCTGCCTGTTCTGCTCCCCACTCTGTCTCTGGTGACTCCTCACCCCTCTTTGATGCATAAATAAATAATTTTTTTTTTTAAGATTTATTTTTATTTATTTATACAAGCACTGGGCACAGTCAGAAGCGCGGGAGGGTGAGAGGATTCACCAGAGCCAGAGCAGGGAGCAGAGCAGGCAGAAGGACCGAGGTACACTGCTGAGGGGAGCAGCGGGCGGCAGGAGAGGTCTGCGCGCCATGTGGGACCCTCCTCCGGTGGCCGGGGAGCAGCCGGGGATCGAACTGGCACTGCGGAGGCTGCGGGCAGCTCCACAACCCAGCGCTCAACCGCTGCGCCACCGGGGAGGCCCAATAAATCTTTTTTAAAAAAAGAGAGAGAAGCTTCTGGTGTGTGTCTTCAAATCTTGTTTGGAATAGAAGCAGCCCGCGCGCGGCAGGCGCTCTTGGGGAATGTGCTTTTGCAGATGGGAAAGTTAGCAGAGACAGTTTTGCAAAACAGTATTTATGGAAATGTTGCTTTTAGCTTCTGACAAATTGGTTTGTCACAAATTGATGTGATACATTTCTTAGGGCTGAAGTTTGAAGAAAATAAAACCACAACTTATGGGTGACACTGGGGAGCTTGGGGGGGGCAGGGTCGGGCGGGGGATCAATTCAAGGTAAACGGCTCCACAGCTGTTCTCGTGTGGGATGTGAAAAGAATCCTTATCTGCTTTTTTCCCGATTGCTCACGTGTGCCATGTCTTGTCTCTTCCCCCAGGATGTGGAGAAAGAGAAGGAAACCCACAATTCCCTCAGCAAAGAGGAAATCCAAGAGAAAGTTCATAAATACAATGCGGCCGTGACAGACAAGTTGAAGATGACCTTGGTAAGCGCCCGTCATGCTTCAAGGTGTTGGTTACGTTAGCCACGTGTCAGAGACAGACCTGAGCTGCTGGTGTGCTTTAGAATTCCTGAAAAGCATTTGCAGAACTTTGCCAATCCGTGTGTGCAGCCCCGGAAGGTGAAATACTTCTCCAGCTTCCATGTGAAAGCTGCATTTTGAAGTAACATTATCCAAGAGTCGTGAACATTGCATTTTAAAGGTTACAGTTTTCACAAGAGTGAATAAGTGACTGTGTGTTGTAAACTGAGGCTGTGGACAGAAGATGGACTAGACAGGCTTTTAATGTTTTGCTCTAACTGTGTCACTTGTACATAACGGGGTTTGTAGTTAACATATAGAGGTTTTCACACGACAGTCAACATTTTTCTCAATAATCTGAATGTAAAGAAAAGTCAAGACCATCATTGCTGGTTTTGGCAGCTAAGGAATAATCCTGCCAACATCCGGGGACAAATACCGCGCTCATCAGCTTGTATGCGCTGGATAAGTGTCGTTTTCCGTATAAAAATCACACCTTACACGGCCGTTGAGAAACCGCCCGTGTACAGGAGCTGCCGCGAGCAGCATGTGCAGGAGCAGCAGCCGCTCCGAGCCGCGACCCCGCTCTGGTCAGAACCACCCCGTGCAGCCGCGGGGTCAGCTGCTGGGGCCGCGGGGCCCTTGTGCGTGTGGGTTCAGAGACACACAAGCTCCGGTGCTTATCACAGGGACGGATAAGGGGCCTCGTGTTGCCAACTGCCCCGAGACTGCGAGGTTTCGGTTGTCAGAGAGTCACGGCACATTTTTGCACAGAAAACAGAAAAAGATACATCGTGACTTTTCCGACAACCGATCGCCGTTTTCTGGCCTCTCCTTGTTACTCGGCACCTCGGAGTCCCGCGTGGCCTCCTTCTCCGTGGCCAGCTGGCCACCAGCGCAGGTGTTGCGTCCTGTGGCCGGGCCGGCCTCCACCCAGGGCCTGCCTCACCCCGGCCCCACCTCTGCCCGCAGGCCTCCCCCCGCCACCCTCCCTGGAGGTGGTCCCTCGGGGGCGGTCACGGTGACGTCCACCTCGGAGCCAGAGAAGCTTCCCCTGTCCCTTCGTGGGGTGTGCGTGTCCTCCCGGCGCCCTCCCAGCTAAGTGTGCGCTTCTCTCTCGCCAGAACTCCAACGGGACGTACACTGGCTTCATCAAAGTGCAGCTGGAGCTCTGCAAGCCGACGTCCGCGGCCTCCGGCCCAGGCAACGGCTGCGTGAACACGCTTCACATCAGCAGCACCAACACCGTCGGGGAGGTCATCGAGGCCCTGCTCAAGAAGTTTCTCGTGGCCGAGAGCCCGGCCAAGTTTGCACTTTACAAGCGTTGTCACAGGGAAGACCAAGGTACCTTCCTTCACGTCTCTGTCCCCAGCAGGAGGCACGCTGTGTGCGTCCAGCTGTGTCAGCCCGGGGGCCACCTGAGGCCACGGCCCTGGGGGGCGCCACCCTGACTCCGTGGCTGAGTTGGGTGGCTCTGACGCACATGCCACTGCAGGGTGCCTGCGAGCGCGCCCTGGGGCTGTGTCCCCTGAGCCTGCATGGGGCCGGGGGTGACTGCGCACAGCCCCGGCTTCCCGGGGTGCCTGGCCCGCCCTCCCAGCAGCACACACAGGGGGTGAACAGTGTTTTGATTTGGGATCTGAACTTCACACCCACGTCCAGCCCGGAAGAGAGTGTGTGATTCCTGCGCGGGCTGAGCAGGACCCCCCAGGTCAGCGTCGAGCGGTGCCCACGGTGGGCAGCATTGGGTTAGCAGCCCCCTGACTGCAGGCTGGGGGTGAGCGCTCAGCTGCTGAGCTGGCTCCCGTGTTTCTGGGTGGGGCCTCGAGCAGCTCCCAGGAGACAGCCGGGCCTGGACACGGCGGCAGCGCCTGCATCGCGTGGCGACGAGGCCCGCCTGGTGCTGGGTGGGCGGGCGTTTCCTGGACACACAGCGTGACCAGGCAGGGCAGCAGGCAGCAGCAGGGGAGGGTGGGATTTACGCCACAGCTGTTGTCGGATGTGCCAGCATAACGCGGGTGACCCCGGGGTTCTCTCAGCCGGCCAGTGTCTTCGCCTGCCCGCCCGGGCTTTAGCTGCACGGGCCCAGCGATGGCACCGGGTTGAGAGATTAACCCAAGGCTGGCAAATCTTCCAGCAGGACAGGCAGGGGTGGGGGGCGGGTGTGCAGCCACCGGAGTGTGTGTTCTGCTGCTGGGTTATTTGCAGCTGCCAGTCTAAGTTGATGTATCTGGAGATTTGTTCCCAGAGCTCTGGCTTCCGTCCCCTGGACGGTGTTTTGCTGCTTCTCAAGGGGCGCCAGGGCCTAAAGCTCAGCGCTGCCTCTTCTCTCTGAAAGGAGGAGCAGGACCCTCCGTCTGTTTTGAGACCGATCACCACTGACTCCACTCCTGGAGTGTGTCCCCCTCGGGGCGCAGCTGCCTGTGCAGACGGCCTGGCCCGCCCCGCCGTAGCCTGGGGGTCGCATGGGGGGTGACGGGGCTGCGTGACCTGGCCCTTGACCTGGCGGGAAGGTGGGCGCGCGGTGACGCGGGCGGCGCGGGTGACACGCTCCTGCCCCTCACGCAGTCTACGCCTGCAAGCTCTCGGACCGGGAGCGCCCGCTGCACCTGCGCTTGGCCGCCGGGCCCCGGACGGACACGCTGAGCTTCGTTCTCCGCGAGCATGAGGCCGGGGAGGTGAGTGGTCGCGCTTCCTCGCCCTGACCGCCCGGGGAGGAAGCTGGGGGCGCTGTCCGTCCGCCCTGGGAGCGGAGGGGGACCCCGGCGGCGGCTCCGCGTGTTGTGACGAGTCGGAGTCGAGCCCAAAGGCAGCTGCGGGTCATTCCTGCGCAGAGTGTTACGCCGGCCTCGCCTTTTCGGAGGGGGCGGAAATGCTTTTCTGTCACCTCATCTCCACCCACAGGGTCATTTTCACCCCCTCTGACCTCCCAAGTGCTGGAATCCAGCTGAACTTTGAAAGCTGATCCCGCCATATGTTTGCGGCCCACAGGAGGCGCCGGGCTAATTTGAGCTGAAGGGAAGTAGAAGGAAATTCAATCTCTTTACCGCAAAGACACCGACTTCCTGGAATCGGTTCCTTTTTCACCTAGATGGCCGTGGATTTGGATTTATTTAGGGCCCGGGTGCCGTGTTCTCTGCACGGACACTTCCTGGAGGCCAGCTGAGCCCAGGAATGAGCTTTAGACTGGCCCCCGAGGCCCAGGAGCAGCTTTAAAACGGCGCAGGAGCCCGTGTCCCCGGCCCTGGGCCTCCGTCTTCCTCGGCCGCGGGGGCGAGAGGCGGCGTCCACGTGGCTCTTGGCATGACGCAGCGCGGCTGGAATGTCTAGGTTAGGAGGAGGAAACGCTGCTTCCTTGCGTCCCTCCTGTCAGCCGGGAGCGGGACTTTAAATCCTGCCCCTGCGGTGCCCAGCCGCGAAGTCAGCGCAGGGGGCGGCGGCCTGAGTCTCGGGCGGGAGCGGGTGTGACCGCGCTGCGGGGATGGCGGCTTCTGAGTCTCAAGCGGAGCTTTATTCAGGGGGGTCTTAGGGGCAAGGGGGGTTGTGGAGCATTCCTGAAGCTTCTTCGGGTCAGTGTTTGGATGCTTTCAAGATTCCCGCTCACTTCGGGGCGCCCAAGCCTGACTCGGCGTCTCGTTTGGCCAGTGGCCCCTCGCCCCCCCAGGCCCGGCCGTGGCCCGTCGCCTCCCACTTCCCGCCCCTGAGTGTCGGGGCGCCCTGCGGAGGGGAGCGTGTCCGCTCAGGGTTGAGATTTGCCCCGCGCCGGAGGCCCCGACTGCTCTGCTGGGCCTCGGCGGCTCTCGTCTGGCCCTCGAGGGGAACCGAGGAGGGAGGCGGCCCCCACGGCCGGCAGGGAGGGAGGAGCTGGCCTGATGGAGCGTCTCTACTGGAGCACGGACGCAGGTGAGAGGAAGATGTTCATTTGTTGGAGTGGACTTTCCGGCACGGGAAGGTTTGTTCTCCTGCTCCACGCGGCTCGCGGCCCCGCCCGTGACAGCCGGTCTCCGGGGGCCTCGGTCGTGCGGCCCTGGTGGCGCCACCCTGAGTCCTCTCACCCGGCCCGGGGCCGCCCAGCCTTCTCCCTGCCCCACGGTTCTGGGGATTTCCCAGCAGCGCCGATCCTGGGGGGTTCCTGGCCATGGGGTGGGGGGTCCGGGCGGGGGGTCCCGGTGAGGGTGGTTCTCAGCAGGCCCGGGGACCCCTGTAGGGAGGGGCAGATCTGTCCTTGGAAGCCAGTGCTGCCAGGCCAGCGACATTCACTGGTTTTTTTGTTGTTGTTGTTGCTAAGATTTATTTATTTATGCTACAAGAGCTGGGGTGCAGGCCAGAGGTGGGGGGGTGAGAGGATCCCCCAGAGACAGTGGGGAGCAGAACAGGCAGACTGACCGAAACCCACGGCTGAGGGGAGCAGCGGGGAGACAGGAGAGTCTGCTGCGCCCTGCGGGCCGCTCCCTGGCCGGCGGGGGATGGAGCTCGTGCCGCAGAGGCCGCGGGCAGCTTCGTAGTGCGGCGCGGAGCCCCTTGCGCCCCCAGGGAGGCCCGACGCCCACTGTTCTACTGATCAGGTGACGCAGACGAGCAGACCAGCCCTGGGTTCGGTGCCGCTGCTATGGCCAGTGGCCGGTGCTCTTGGGGCGAGACCCGGAGGCTCGGGCAGGAGGCAGAGCCCCTGTCCTGATGGGGCTGTGACGGGGTGGCGGCGCCGACGGCCGCAGCCTGGGCGGGAAGGGGGTGCAGGGATGGGGCGCGATCCCGTGGGGAAAGGGCCCCGGAGCTGCCCCTTGATGCTGAGCTGGGCAGGCGAGGGGCGAGCCAGGGGAAGAGCCCCCGGCCAGGAGGGCGCCGGGCGGGGAGGGGGGGGCAAGGGGGGGCTTAGCGGACACTCAGCGACGCCCCAAGGGTCAGCGGGCGCGCCGGGGCCAGGCTGGCGTTCCCCAGAGTGCCCTGGGCTGGCGGGCACAGGCGGCGGGTCTGAGAGGCCGGAGCGGCTGGGGAGGAGGCCGTCCCGGGGGGAGGTGACGGTGGCCGGCCCTGAGGGCCGAGGGGTGCGCGGTCCAGGGATCCCCGGGACCGGGTGGCGTGCAGAGGCCTGAGGTGCGCCTGGGGCGCGGGGCGCGGTCTCCGGTGCCGCGGGAGTCGGGTGGGGAGTGAGGAGCCAGACGGGCCCAGGGGTCGGGGGTCGGAGGGGCGCGGGGAGGGGACGCGGGGACACGGGCGGGCCCGGGCGGGAGGCGGCGGCGGCCCCGGTCCCGAGCCCGAGCCCACCCGGCGCGGCCTGTCTGTCTCCGCAGTGGGAAGCCTTCAGCCTGCCGGAGCTGCACAACTTCCTGCGCATGCTGGACCGCGAGGAGGCCGAGCACCTGCAGGGCCTGCGGCGGCGCTACGCGGCCTACAGACTGCAGCTGGAGGAGGCCCTGCGCGCCCTGTGCAAGCCCGACTAGGGGGCCCCGCGCGCCCGCCAGCGCCGCGTCTCTCCCCGGGGGCTCTGCCGCCCCGCGACGCTGGCTGCTCCCCGCGGGTGCGGCCCCTCCCGCCTCCCCGGCCGCGGGCTCCGGCGGTTTCTTCTTCTTTCACTTTGGTGCCTTCGCGGAGAGCCCGGCACGTGCACGTGTTTCCAGACTTGCCCGACCCGCGCGCGCGTCCACGCCGAAGCCGCCTGTGGTTTTCCCGGGTCGGGACCCCCCGCAGGAGCCGAGGGGCGGGGAGCGGGGAACTGGGACGTCTGTGGAGGGCTTGGGGGCGTCTGGCAGAGACAGGACAGGGCAGGTTGGGAGGCGCGGGCCGAGGGATTCGGCGTGGAGGAGCCGGGCGGGCGGCGGGGAGCTCAGGCTCCTGGTGGTGAATGTGCGGACAGGCCAGAGCAAGTAGGAGCCAGACCCTGCGGGGGGCTGGGGGGCGCTGACTGCGCTCGGGGCCCTGGGGGGAGCAGAGAGGGCCGGGGGGCGCCTTCCCGCCGAGCTGCTGCTCTGGGTGCCGGGATGGTGGCCCCGCGGCCACGCGCAGGCTCAGGGCGCGCTTGGAGACCATCATCCCCCTTCCCGTGCCTGTCCCCGGGCTGGACAGACCCTGCGCGCCCCGCCCCGGCTCCGGGGAGGCCTTGCCCGGCGGGGGCAGCACGCGAGGCGGCCAAGTCCACGCCAGAGCCGCTGCGGGACGCGCTGAGCGAGAAGGCACGTTCCCTCTGGCCTGTCCTCCGTCCTGTCCTCTGGCCCTGCCGGCCCGTCCTCCCGTCCTTCCTGCCAACCAAAGAATTGTGCAGCGCGTGGGCCAGGGAGGCCCCGGGCGGGTCGCTCGGGCCGCGCGGCTCTGAGGACGGCCGCGGGGGGCGCGGCGCGGGCTTCCCGAGGGGCCTGACCACCCGCCGGTCGCCGGGCTGGTTCCTGTTAGGAATTCCCAAGGAGCGGTTGGCTTGGGGACACCCGGCGGAGTGTTGTCGAAACTCCAGGCGCTTCTGCGCTCGGCCTTGACGCGGGCTGTGCCTTCCGTGCGCTGCTGCGCCCCGCGGTGGCTCTTCCCGCTCTTCCGAGGACGCCCTCCCGGCCGAGGCCGGCGGGCCGGGCCTGCTGCCCACGCGGGTCGCGGAGACCATCGCAGCCTCCTGAGCTTCCCGGGAGCGTGGGAGGAACCGTGGCACCTGCTGTCGCGCGTGGCCGGCACGTGTTTCCCCTTGCACCTGCCTGCCGGGCGCTGACGAGGCTTTCGTGACCTTGGCGCCCGGCATGGACCGTCCGGGGAGTCGGGGTGTCAGGGAGTCGGGGAGTCAGGGAGTCGGGGAGTCGGGGAGGGCCTTCGGGCGTGTGCGCCGGCCTCCCCCGGCCCGGCCTGGGGGGCGTGTGCTCCGCCCCACCGCTCAGATGTGGTGAAGCGTTTGCTTCTCGGCTGCAGACACCGCTAGACACGCAAGTAGATGCGGAGCTGTGAATTTTTTGTTTACTTGAAGTTGGCCTCATGCCGCGTCCTCGCGCGCGCCGGGAGGACCTCGCGCGTCGCCGTGCGCACTACACGCTGCCGTCGGAAACTTGCTGCATCGAGATTGCGTCAGTTCGCGCTTTCTGAACACTCGGGTCCCGTCCCAAACGCTGGCTCTCGGCGCAGCCGCCGTTGGAACGTGTAAAGAAGCGAAGGCCGCTGGGCCAAGAGTTTTAAAAATCATCGCACAGATTCCTAGGTGAAATGAAAGGAAGCTCCGCCGGCATCTGCTCCCCTGCGCGGGGCGGCCCCGGACGGCGCGAAGCTGAGGGCGGTGTTGCAGGGAGCATTTAAATCACGGAAATAAAAAGTTATGATATTTATAATTTTGATGAGTTTAAGTTTATTTTTATAGGGAACATTCATCTTGCCTGACATCGTTTCTGGATGGCAGTTGTTTCCGTAATTAAAAATCGAAGCTGTTAATGGACGCTGTGTGTGTCTGTCTCTATGACGTGCCAGAGGGAGGGCGCCCGCGGGTGTGGCTGGCCCTGCCGCTCCGGAAGGGCCCGGGTGTGGCTGTGGCTGGGTGGGGCCGTTCTCCCAGCTGGCATTTCCCCTGCCGTATCCCGGGGAAGTGGTCGGAGGCGAGCATCTGCCTGAGAGCACCTTCCCCGAGCGAGACTGCAGTAGGCCTGCCTTCGGGAATGTACGAAGGGGCCTCCCTGGGGGTGCAAGGGGTGAAGATGCGATCTAGGAAGCTGGCCCCAGCCTCTGCAGCGCGAGTTCCATCCCCGGCCAGGGAGCTGCCCCCAGGGCGCAGCAGACCCCGCCTGTCTCCCCGCCGCTCCCCTCAGCAGTGGGTTTCAGTCAGTCTGCCCGTTCTGCTCCCCGCTCTGTCTCTGGGGAGTCCTCTCACTGTCCTACCTCTGGCCTGCACCCCAGCTCTTGTCTGCATAAATAAAATAAATCCTCAAAAAAAGACAGCCCCGGGCCTCCCGGGTGGCGCAGCGGGTTGAGCGCAGCGCTGCGAAGCTGTCCGCAGCCTCTCAGTGCGGGTTCGATTCCCAGCCGGCCAGGGAGAGCCCCACAGGGCGCGGCAGGCCCCTCCTGTCTCCCTCTGCTGCCCTCAGCAGTGGGTTTCAGTCCGTCTGCTTGTTCGCTCCCCGCTGTCTCTGGGGAGTCCCGCCCCCCACCCCCCGCACCGCTGGCCGGCACCCCAGCTCTTGTAGCATAAATAATAAAAAAACCCCAAGGAGTGTAAAGCAGGGGCGGCGCTGAGGAGTCAGGACTCCCTGGTCAGCCCCGGCCCCGCGCCAGCTCGCCTGCCCTTGACCCCAGCTCGCCTGCCCTTGACCCCAGCTCGCCTGCCCTTGACCCCAGCTCGCCTGCCCTTGGCCTCCGGGACGCAAAACCGCGCGTCTTTCTGGGCCGGCGCCCCCGCGGCCACGGCGCCCCCTGGCGGCGCGGGCTTCGCTTCGGCGCCGACGGGCGCGCAGGCTCGGCGGGGGGGGCGCGGGGGGGGTCGGGGGGGCGCAGCGGGGCGGCCGGGGCGCCGGGGGGATTCGCCGGGTTTGCGGCGCCGGGACCGTCTCTGCGGCCGCCGCGGCGGGGGCCGGGGGGGCGCGGGCGGGCAGGGGCAGCGGCCCTCGGGGTCACGCGCCCCCCGCGCCGGGTCCACCCCGCGCCGCCGCCCCCGAGTGCGTGTGGGGGACGCGGCCCCGGCGTCGGGGGGGCCGGGCCGGCCGCAGCACCGGCCGAGGGTCCAGCAGCCGCCCGACCTGCGGCCCGCCGCGCCCCCGGGGCCGCCCGACGCCCCCACCCCGCCCCGGCCCGCGGGAGAGGCGCCCGCGCGGGAGCCGGAGCTGTTGGGCCCGGGCCCAGGGCCCCGGCCCCGCCCAGAGGCCCGCGGAGGCGGCGGGCAGCGGGGCCCCCGGCCCGGCCCAGGCGCGCGGGAGCCCGAGGCCGCCCCGCCCCGCCCCCGACACCGCCCCCGACGCCGCCCCGCCCCGCCCCCGACGCCGCCCCCGACGCCGCCCCCGCTGCAGCCCCGAGGAGGGCGAGGCCGGCGCCAGGTGCGCGCGGCCGGCGGGTCCAGTCGGGCCGCGCTCCGGCCCGGCCGCCGGGGGAGAAGCGAGAAGCCGCCCCGAGGGCGGGGGACGCGAAGGCCGGGCCCCGCGGGGTGTCCGCGCCCCGGACCTGCCTCACCGCCCGCCCGGCCTCGCCACCTCGCAGCCCGCGGGGAGCGCCCCGCCCGCCCCGCGCCCCGACGGCAGCCCGGTGAGTGGCTTCTGGGCGCGGGGGGGGGGGGAGCTGGGGGGGTGCTGGGGGGAGGGGGAAGCTGGGGGGGAGCTGGGGGGGAGCTGGGGGCGGCCGCGCCCTTCGGGGCCTGTTTTCCCCCCTGCCGAGCGGCCCGCTGCGGCCCCGGGTCAGCGCTGGGCCTCGCCCCGCGCGCTCTGCGCCTCCTGCCCCCGCTGCGGCCGCGGAGGCACCTGCCCGCTGCGCCCCGGGCTCGCTTGGCCCTCGGTCTGGCTCCCCCGGGGCGCGGGCTGAGCCGCTGGGGCACCCCCGGGCCTGAGGGAGCAGGCGCCGCCGGTCAGTGACGGCCTTCAGGTGGGTCATGTCGCTTCTTGGGGCTCGGGCTGATTCCGGGTTGCCTGATGTTTGGACCCCGAGATGTTGGCACCCCCTCCTGATGGCGCGTGGTCCCCAGACACTGGGGGGGCGCCTGGCCCAGGCGGCCCCTCTGCTTCCCGGCCGGGGCGCTGACCACTGGGGTCAGAAACGTCACCCAGCGAAACGCGGGCCGTGGGGACCCTCAGAGGAAGCTGGGGTGCTTGGGGGCGCCAGGGCCGCTTCCGCGAAGCCCTTTCTGAACCAGGAGCCCGGCTCCTGCCCCGGGACTGTGGGGCCAAGCGGGCGCTGAGCTTCCTCCTCCCCAGGGGGATTCGGGGCTCCGGCGTGAAGGGCCCTTTGCCTTTCAAGGGCAGTAAGTTGCGCCCGTGTGTTCGCCCGGGCGAGGTAAACTCGGGCAACTCAAGCCCCAGAGCTCAGCTGAGCGCGGCCACAAAGAGCAGCGGATCCGGATCCGCGGGTGGGGAAAGGCCCGCTGGCGCCGGGCACACGCCGAGGGCGAGGGCTGGGGTGGCAGAGCTCACGGGCGGGAGGGAGCCGGCCAGAGCCCGCGCACGGCGTGGGTGAGTGGACAGCTGCTGGCCAGGGACAAGGTTCCGCCTTCTCGTTAACCAAGCTGACAGGACATCAGCCCCTTGTTGGGGTGCTTTTCTTTCCAAATACTTATTTATGCAGACAAGAAGCGGGTGCAGGTCAGAGGTGAGGGGGGCGGTGAGAGGACTCCCCAGAGACAGAGTGGGGAGCACAACAGGCGGATCCACGGAAACACACTGCGGAGGGGAGCAGGGGGAGACAGGAGGGGTCTGCTGCGCCGTGCGGGTTGCTCCCTGGCCGGGGATCGAACTCGGGCTGCAGAGGCTGCAGCAGCTGCACAGTGCGGTGCTTACCCCCCGCCCCGGGGGAGGCCCGGTGGTTGTTTATTGACGGAAGAATTGATGAAGGCCCCTCCCTCCCTCTGCAGCCCAGGCTTGGAGTCAACCGCGATCAGCTTTGGGGAACGGCTGCTCTACGGCCTGGGTCTGCGCCTGCGGCCGCTCGCGCGCGGTCGTGGCTGGCACGGAAGCTGGTCTGGGAGGCCGCGTGTGTTAATGTCATTCAGCGACTGTTTAGAAACCGCAGAGCGGGCGTCAGGCGCCTGGCAGATGATGAGAAGGACGCCAAGGGCTTGTCTTCATCCAGACGGACCGCCCACCGCTGTCGGGCAGCTGGAGCCGGCGCGAGTCCCCACTCAGGCTCCGCGGAGGCTGTGGCGCAGCCCAGGTGTCCAGGATGCGCAGGGTCCCCGGCTGGCTCGCTTCAATGGAAATGTTGTAAAATGGAGACAGATTTCCAAGGCTTTTCTTTGGGTGACATTTTATTGGCATCCTCTGGCTGGGCTCCCTGCTGGGAGAACTTTCTAGATCTGCTGCTCCCCGGTCAAGGCTTCCTCTCTGGAAAGGGCAGCATTGGCCTCGACGCCCGTCTCCGCGCAGAGGCTCACCTGCCCGCTGCGCGTCTCAGGGCCGCGTGGGGCCCGCCTAGGGTGGCCGAGGCGCCGCGTACACGGTGACGCCGGCGCGTGTCCCTGAGGAGGGTGATGGCTGCCTCGCGGCTGCCACAGGCTCGCCCGCTCAGGCTGACACTGGCAATCCTCTAGATAGCATCACCCGGGACGCGCTTTCTAAAGCCGCTCAGTGGGAGGGAATGCCTGACACGCAAACACTGCAGGCGTGCGGGGAGGGAGGAGCCCGAGCCATCGGCCCGCGCTGCCGTCCCTGGGCCACGTCCTGGGGCCAGGCAGGCGGGTGCTCGGGTGCAGGACACGGGTGGGGGGACCCCCTGGAGCCGAGACGACCCACAAACGGCTTAACGGGAAGATGGCTTCGAGGCAGGTGTCTCACCTCGTAAATAGCTTGGAGAATCCGGCCGAGAACCCCGGGTTTTTCCTTTCTTAATCGCAGATGCTAACTGCAGGCCTCGCCCTCTGCCTTCTGGGTCCTCTGGACATCAGAACTGGGCAGAAGGTGGTCGTGGAGTCCCGCCCAAGACCAAAGTCTAGAACAGTCAGTACCGCGGCCTCCCTGGGCGCCCACTCGGTGCCCACCACACCCTGCCCGCTTCGCGACGGCCAGGCCGGCGGCGAGTCTAGCCCCGGCCTTCAGCTACGGCCCTGGGCTCTCTGGTCGGCTCTGGCCCCAACACACTTCAAGGTACGCACACGAGCCCTGTGAGCCCACCACTGGCAGGGCGGACACAGGGCTGGTCCGGAGGGACTCTGGGTCTGCGGGCAGGCTACGGTCCCGGCGGGAGCGGACGGGCGAGTCAGAAGAGCGGCCCCAGCAACGTGCTTACCCTCACGGCGCACGGGCCCCTCTTCCTGCTGCTGGCTTGACCTGACGCGCCCAAACCACCCGCCGCTGGCCTGGCAGGTCCATGGGCCTCCTTGAACATTCCTTTCCTTCCCCTTGGCCTTCAGGGTGTGAGCCCTGCTCGGTCGGGGCTTGGGCCAGGACCCGTTTTTCTAAGTAAAGTTTTGCGGGCGCTCAGCACACATTCCCGGCCCCGTTGTCCGTGGCTTTCGTGTGTGAACAGCAGAGCAGCTGCGGCCCAGGCCACGTGGCCTCCAGCCCGACCACGCACTCCCTTTAAGGGGACGCTGCAGTCCAGGGGCGGAGTCGTTCCTCACTCGGGACGGCGGGGCCGTGACTGACAGCAAGGCCGGGCAGCTCTGAGGGGAGCTTAGTGCATCCAGCGCCGAGGTGGCCAAGGGCAGCTTTCTGCAGAGCTATGAAGGCATCAAGACTGAATCGGGAAGGTTTCCTCCACATTTTCCACTCAGGGGTTCTCGGTGCGCAGGGCCCACGTGTGCGCTCTCCAGGTGGAGACGGAACGCTGGGTGAGCGACGCGGACGCTGAGCAGGACCGGGAAAAGGCTTCTCGTCAGAGCTGCTCGTCTGGAACAAGGGACACGCCCCCGCTAACAGAAATCACTTTTAATTCACTGCAAAGTGCAGCCGTGAACAGGGTCCCTGAAGGGCACTTTCTAAGTCAAATGCCTGAGATGACACCGAGGCTGGGGAGAGTAACTTCTAGAAGCAGACGACGCGCACGCAGGGAGCCAGGAGACTCGGGTACCTCAGCGGGGTGAAGAACCCAAGTATTTCCATCCAAACCTGGCGGCTCATTTGCAAATGCTTGGCTTTCTGCTGAAGAGCCTGAGCCGCTTCGTCTCCCTGCAGGAAAGCCCCAATCCTGAGTGGGCCGCGTCCAAGCCCACGCGCCTCGCGGGGAGGCCGGCCTGGGGGCTGGCACCGCCATCTCGTGTGGGGCCCGTCAGCTACAAATGTATTGGCGACAGCGCCAGGAGGTCCCCCTCAAGGATGCTCCAACGGTGTCTGCTCCCTGATGCGTCATGTATTTGTGGGAGAGTTTTGTAAAAGGAAACCTCATAAGGCAAAAACCCCTGTTCATGCCTCACAGTTCTAGCGCTTTCTTTCCTGAAGGGCACCCACAGGCACGTACTCGGCTCCCTGCGGGGGGGAATGAAATTTAAGAGGCGCAGGCGCCCCTGCCACGGGTGCGCGCACCCGCGTTCCCAGCAGCTCGGTGCTCTCCGCCTCGCCAGAAACTGAGGCGGCGTCTCGGACGTGGCTTTCGGCACCGGCCGTCCGGGGGAAGCCGGCGCACGGGGAGGCGCAAGGCGATTCGAGGATCAGGCAAAGCAGCAGAGGCGGCACACGGGGCTGCTGCGCCCCCACCGCCTCCGCAGAAAGCGGGCGACCCCAGGACAGCGGGGGGGGGGGCTGGGCCACCCCGAGGGTCTGACCTGCTCTCGGGAGCCAGAGTCGGGAAACCACAGCACGTCACGGCGCACGGCCTGGTGAGAGTCGGTCTCTTTTATTCGGGAATAACTACGGCAACTTCCAGGAACGCGGCGCTGCCTGCCGCGGGCCCAGGCCCGCCCCATCCACACGGAAGCTCAGGTCCACAAGGTCCAGATCCCCGCCCCTGAACAGTCCCGCAGAGGTGTTCACGCCGCGCCAGGAGCGGGCGTTGGCCCGGCTGGGCGCCCCCCGGCTCCCCGCGAGTCTCTCTCACAAAGTGCTTAAAGCTCAACCGAAGACCTTAAATAAAGCTGAAGTCAGTCGCGCCCGAGCTGCACAGGAGCCGGGGGTGCCCCGCGGCCCCTGCCAGGCCGCCTCCCGGTGCGGCCCCCGGGCTTGGTCTCCGCGCCCGTGACGTGAAGTGAGGTTTTCTGAGCAGCGACGAGACCACGACGAGACCTGGCGTCACGGGAGCGCCAAGTGCCGCACCCGGCCCAGCGCCTCAGGGGCGCCCCTGGCAGGGAGGCGGGTGGTGGGGCGGGGGCTCGCCCTCGGCTCCACACCTGAGAGTAAGACTCTCCAGTGCCGGCGCCGGCGAGGCACCCCTGCCCTGACTGGCACCCCGTGGCGCGGCCTCGGGAGCAGAGCGCGGCCCTCCGAGCAAGCTGCTGCCCGACACGGCTCAACGCTCGCTGCGCTGCGCGGGCAGCACCAGCCCGGGCCCCGGGGAGACTCGGCAGCGCCGGCTGGTGTGTCCGGCTGACGGGAGAGCAGCGGCACCTGCTCCTGGCCACGGCCCCGCCGCGGGGGTTTCTCCTCCAGCGGGTGCCGGCAGCGCGTCTGACAGCAAAGCGCTCCATCCGAAAAGCCCCGGGACAGCAGGTCGGGCTGTGGCCCCGAACGCGCCCGGGATACCCGCGCTCCGGGTGGGTCCGCAAAGCCAGGCGTGGAGTGCGGGGGCGAAGGGGCGAGGCCAGAGCGGAGGGGGGGGCAGGGCGGGCAGAGCTCACAGCTTGTGCAGCCCGTCAGGCTGCTCTTTCATACAGACTCAAACCAAAGCCAGTCCAGAAACTCCCAGGCGTGGTCGTGAGGACGCGCTACAGGCACCTACTGCAGTCACTCGTCAGGAAGAGGCGTGAGGGTCCAGCCGAGGCCGCTACAGAGGATGCTTGGAAAACCTCCGAGTCCTGACGCTGCCGTGGCTGCTGAACATGAGGCGAGGGTCGAACCTGTACCTGGGAGGGAGAAAGGACGTCAGCGCCTCCAGGGCCGGGAGGGAACCGGAGGGCGGGAGGGCGCAGGGCAGGCCGGGGCCCTCTGCGAGGCAGCCGAGGACAGTCCATCCTGGCCAGCCAGCCGGAGGAGCGCAGGGAAATGGCGCGAGGAGAAGAGACGGTCAGGCCTCAGGGGTGGCAGGAAGATGCCCTGCTGGAGGGAGGCTTTCTGGGAGGAATCCAGCTGCTGCTGAACACCTGACCAGCGGCTCCGCAGCGAGACACACAGTGGCGGGCGGGCGGCCCTCCAACGTGGTGAATCTGGCTTATTATGAACTTAAGTCATTAACCTCCCTGAGTCAGGGAAGTACTGGAAAATGTCTGCTACGTGAAAAAGCTAATTTTGCCTCCCAAGGAAGGTCAGCGTCAATGCCCAAAGGTGACCTGAGCGGAGGTGTGGCTGCAGGAAGAACACAGCTGGCGGGGTTAACTCAGCTCCAACAAGCTGTCGGCACCTCTGCAGCACGAGTTCGATCCCCGGCCAGGAGTGACCCACGTGCTCTCCCCGCTGCTCCCCTCAGCAGTGTGTCAGTGGATCCGCCTGTTCCCCACCGTCTCTGGGGAATCCTCTCACCCCCCCACCTCTAGCCTGCACCCCAATTCTTGTATGCATAAATAAAAATAAATCTTTAAAGAAGTAGATAGCTGGGGGGCCACTTCACAGGCACAGGCGAGAAACAACATACTCAGCCTGCTGCCTCGCGAGGCAAGCTTCCTCTCCTTAGCGCGAGGTTGGGCGGCACCGGGTGTGGGCCGCGCTGTCCCAGCCAACACGGGAAGGCACGCGACGGTCCCAGCAGGGGGTGGCTGGACGGGGGTCGCGCAGGACTGCGCCCGAGAACAGCGTGGCTGCGCGAGGCAAAGCCCTGGAAAGGGAGCTTACCCGGGGTCAAACACCCCAGGCGTGCGGCAGGTGGGCCCGGCGCAGGACTGCAGCATCATCAGCCGGTAGTTCATCTTCCCGAGCAGCTCCGGGTCTATGGTCTTGGCGATGTTCGTGAGCTGGTCCGGGTCCGCGGTCAGGTTGTAGACCTCCACGAACACCTGCGGGAAGGGCACGCGGGGGTGGAGCGAGCCGGCTGCGCTGGGAGAAATGCTCCGCGCGCGACTCCTGCCCACGCGGGAGCGGAGCGGCGGATGACGAGAAGGCCGGGGAGAATGTAATCTGGTCTCAGGAGCCTCGAAGGCCCCCAGCGTATACTTGAGGCAACGGAGAGTCCGTTCCGGGGGTCCCACTGCTTTGGACGCGTGTCCACTGGCGGAACCGGGGGCCCCCGTGCGCCCTGTGCCTCAGGCAGGGTCCTCGGGACGGGCTAAGCGTTGGGCCACGCCGTGGCGGAGACATGTTTGACACGCTGCCCGCCGGCACCCTTTCTAGGAAAGCTCCCACGTCCGCGGAAGCGGCGGGGTCTCACCCCGCCCCGGACACCAGCCGAAGGGCCCCGGTGGAGACGCTGCCCGCCGGCGAGCACCTCGCCACCAGCAGCCTCACCTCCTGGTCGTCGAACTCGCAGTACTGCAGGTCCCAGCGCGCCGACAGGGTCCTCACGCAGGCGTACGTGTTGTTGTAGGCGTCTTCACACACGCAGTCCGGGAAACATTGCTGCGGGGACAGAGAAGGCCCCACCTGCGGGTCCCGCTACTGGCCTGCAGGGCCCGAGCTGGCTCTGGTGAGACGGGCACGCGGGAATCGGGAGCCCTTCCCAGAGGAGCCGGTCAGTCAAGAGCAGACAAGGTGGAGGAGGCGGGTCCTGGGCTCAGCTGCTCCGCCGACTCCCCGTGACACAGGTGGGAAGGTTCTTCCTGAACCCCCCACCCCCCAGCACAGCCCCCAGCCCCCGGGAGGCTCTCACAGTCCCGGAGCTGCTCCCGGAGGAGCGACGGCACAGCCCACATCAGACACCCACCCTTGGAACTTGTGCCGGAAATGACACCGTTTGGCGTAGAACCAACCGGCCCGGGGAGCAGGAGACGCAAGGGGCAGCAAGGCCGGAGGGGCCACTCCTCGGAGCAGGCGTGCAGACCCGCTGCCCGGGGCCCCGTGCGAGCAAGGTGCTGACGTCACACGAGGAGGGGACCCGTCAGCTACTCCAAAAGCACCTGGAGGGACAACGGGCTGTCTCCCGAGAGGGGGGCGCTGGCAGCAGCCGCTTCTGCGCTCCCACTGCCTGACTCGAGCCTGGGTGGAGGGCGTCGCCTCGGCCGGCGCCAGAACGAAGGCCGGGACACGATCTTTGCTCGATCTTGCAAGATCTTGCCCTGGACTCACGGCAGCTGCCAGCGCCTCGCTGGAAGGAGATGACACACCCACCCAGGAGCCCGGCGGCCGCGGCCGTCCCCGGGGGGACACTTCCATCTCGCCTGCGCCCCAGGCCGGAGGGGCTCACGGCTGACGCCCACACGGCCACGTACGCCCGCCTGTTTGAAGAGCTAGTACCTGGGGTCCAGGCGCTCCGAGAGCGCCTCCCCCTTGGGACGCTGACACGCCCTGGCCCACGCACAGCAGCGAGGTCCTCTCTAACCCGGCCAGGGCGCGGGGCACAGCTGGAGGACAGAGGTCGCCGCCCACACAGCTACCCCCTCGAGGCCGGGAGAGCTGCGCTACCTGCCGCCCGGGGGCCACGGTGCGAGCCAAGCGAAGACACGGGTGTCCACTCCAGATGAAAGGACCAGAAAAAACCTCAGGAAAAAAGAAGACTCGAAAAAAAGGAGCTGGAGGTGACGGTCACGAAAAGCCCGTCCCAGCGGGGGAGGAGCGCGAGCAGCGAGACCTCGCGGCAGAGAGAAAGAAGCTGCCCGGCGCGCCACGGCCGAGGCGACGCTGGCCTGGAAACACGCGAGAAAGGCTCGGCGGCGACCCGGCGACGGGAGAGGCGAACGTGAGGACAGGACAGAGCTCGCCCGGGGAGGCCACAGGAGGAAAGATGAAGGCGGCTTCAGAGACGTGGGGCCCCAGCAAGCACAACAGCGGCACAGCAGGGGCCCCGCGAAGGGAACCGGCACCAGGAAGTGCCTCAAGCTGGGGACACGCGGTCAGGCCCAGGAAGCTGTTTCAGATGCACCGAACCCCCAAAGATCCACACCCAAACCGGACCCAAGACGTCAAAGGCTGAAGCGTCCTGAAAGCAGAAAAGGCGGCCCCGCACGACTGTCCCCGCCGGAAGCGGCGCGGGCCCGGAGCACACGCGAGAGCGACGCCGGCGGGACCAGATGCCGACCGGGCAGGCGCCGACGCAGAACCGAGGGGGAGAGAAGATGGCAACACCCGGCGCTCGCGGGACGCAAGAAAACGTGGAAGACCCACCGGAGAGCAGCTCCTTAGCGCGGGGAGGGGTGACTCGCTCGGGACCCGACCCGCGTGGGCGACAACTCACACCGCAGCGCTCAGGGAAGGAGAGAGGACAGCGGCCGTGAACCGTCGGGCGGGACGAAGGCCCAGAGGCCCAGAGTGAGCTCAACGTGACGTTACCGTTAACTTCAGACGCATCAAAACCTTGTGGGGACCTTCTCGGCGAGCGCCCCGAAGACAACGAGCGGCACCGGAGCGGCACCCGGAGAGCAAGAGGAGCACCGCGAGCTGGAGAGGAAACTAACGTGGTGACGCCGGCACGCCTGTCGGGGGGGGTGTGACGTGTGCGTGACGTGCTCCCTTTTCGGGGTCTAAATTCTCTGATCAACAGACAGTGGCGCAATGCATTAAAAAAACAAAACAAAAAAAAAACCACCTCGTCGACTCAGCCGACGTATCTGAACCCACATTTCCCCGAGGCAGGCGGCAGCCGGCGGGTTCGCGAGTGCGTGCCCGACATTCCTGGCCGTCAGGAAAAGGCAGCTCAGAACAAAAGGCTTTCCCTGCGCTCGCGCCAGACGGTCACGACCAGAAAGTCCCAGAGGAGAGGACGCGCGCGGAGAGGACGCACGAGGAGGGGACGCGGGTGGAGAGGACGCGCGTGGCCACCGCGTGGGGTGCTGCGGACTTGACGGCGAACTCGCTCTGACGCCCGCCGCTTCCCAACACTTACAAACCATGAAGCTGGACACCTGGAGCTAAAACAAGGTGACGCTGCCGACTGGACCGCGAGGAAACCCCGCACCGCGCGGCAGGCAGCGGCTGGGGTGGGAACCCGGCAGGTGCGCGCCGCCCACGAAACCGGGAGAATTCCAGGGGCGCCCTCGGAGAGCAGCCGACGTCTTCAGGGTCCCTGACCGGTCGTCCCCTCCGTCGACCCGCCACCCAAGGTCAAAGAGGCCCGGGGCTCGGCTGCGGGCTCGCGCACCCCAGCCACCCCCCGTGCCCTCGCCGACAGCTGCTGAGGCTGCGCCGGCCGCGACTCACCGACACTCCGGGGCTCAGGGCGGGACACGTGGGGTCCGTGACGTTGCGGCCTTCCCCCTGATACTCCACCAGCACGTCCGAGCGCCACGTCAGGTTCCCAGCGCCTCTCTGGGGAGAAGAGCAGAGCGGGTGCGTGGGGGCGGCGGGTACCCCGGTGTCAAGCATCCCAGGGTGACTCGCGCAACGGGACAGGAGACTTGTCGTGAAACCCGCACCCCGGACAGGTCCTGCTAGTGACGCTTCCAGAACAGTCTGGGCAGTTTGCATTCTCTCGGGCTTCTTGCCCCTCCTGGGGATTCATCTTCTTCCTCGCTGGGAGCTCCACAGGCAGCGCTGCTCCCCTTCATTTCAGCCTTTCTTTGGTCAACACGAGTGACTCTTGGGCACTTCCTCATTCCTTTCGGCGTTCGTTAGTCATTTCTTTGACCCATTATTTCTACTGGGATAGTAATCTGTGCTTTCTAAAGACTCATCTGTTCAAACTAATTACCCTGTTCACGATTCTGTCAATATTTTCCCCATTTGTCACCCATAATTCTGTTGATGAAAAGTCTGGGGGGGACACGTGGAGAGACGGACGCTCATGTCTGTAGGCGGCCCGCAGCCTTTCAGAAAAGTCCTTCCCACCACGAGAGAAAAGTTCTGTTCTCTGCTCTTCAAATTTAATGGTTTTATTTAGAATTTAAACCTTTATGTCTTTATATGACCTGGAATTTTTTCCAGAGTGTTGACTGAACACCTGACTGAGGGCGTTTACTCACCAAAATGGGCAGTAAAGACATCCCGTCCATCTGTGTCTTATTCAGGTTATAGCCAGCGATGTCCAGAATAGTAGGACCCAAGTCAATATTGGCAACGAGCATCTATGAGGGGGGAAAATACAAATAATTTGAAAAAACTGGCCCTATTTTCCTCTTCTACCTATACTGAGCTTTTTCTCCCCTACCCCATCAGCAAAGTTACTGAAGTCTTACTATTTCATATATTTACATATAACTGTAATAGTTTAAAAAAAAAAATCTAGAGGCTTTCAAGGCTTTTAACAGATGCCCCAGGAAGTGAAATATCAATTCCACCCATATTGCAATGGATCAAAACATTTCTCAAAACTTCACATAAAATGTTCCAACTTGATCTATTAGTTTACTAGATTTGGGGTCACAGACTCCTGACAATGCTGAAACCGCAGTCTAGGTGAGGTCAACACTGAGACAAGAAGTCTGGGAGTCCTGGAGACAACACACCAGGGGAATGAAGGAGAACTAACGTTTCCTGACCACCTGTTCTGGGCCAATACTTCCCTTTTAGCCTCATTTAATGCTCACTGCAATTTCAGGAGGCAGGATTTCTTCCACTTTACAGATGAGAAGAAAAGAAGGAGCTGAGACCAAGTCAACAGCTTATAACTGGAATCCTAGCATTTACTGAAAGTCTTTAAAACCTCAGAAAACTCAGATTTCCTTAGATCATTTTAGGAAAGACCAAAGATTTAAAAAAAAAAAAAATCTGAGCCTCCCTGGTGGCACAGGGGTTAAGTCTCAGCACTACGAAGCTGTCCCCAGCCACTGCAGGTATAAGCTGGGAAGAGATGGCGGCAGGGAAGGAGAGACAGGCACGCCTGGCCAGCACCGAGGCAGCACCTGCTCAGCCAACACAGGTGCCACCCGGGCACACTGAAGGTCGGGGCTGTCCAGTGTTCCTCTCCTCTGCCACCCCTGGGGCAGGAAGCACCCCCCCCCCCCGGGGCATGGCAAGACAAGGCCAGCGAGAACCACGCAGGAGCTGTGTGGAGTCTGGAGCAGCTTTCCAGAGGACACGCAAAGCCAAAGCCTGGAGGACAGTGAGCTCCGCAGGGCAGGGCCTGCTGTGCCAGAGCGGGGGAGAGCTGTGGCTGCAGGGAGCCAAGTGCGTCCACTACTTGACCTTCTGCTCCCCGAACCTACCACGTTCGTCCTCAAGTCTGTGACTTCACCTTTGTTCTGCACAAATGTCTGCACGGATGCACAGATCGCTGCTCAGCTGACCCTGCTCAACATCCGGGTCTCCACTCGAGCGCCCGGGAGGCTTTCGCACGACTGCAGTGGCCGTGTCTGGCTCTCCCTGAGACGGGCAGTTAGAGCTGACCCTCCCTCCCAGCCAGGCCCAGGGTGCACAGACAGTCTGAGGGGTTCCCCACAGGGCGCTGGCCCACACCCACTGCTTCTCAGATCACGTGTGAACTTGAAGAAGGAAACAGAGGCTGGGTCCCCATTCCCGACCAAGTGAGCCCAGAAGAACCTTTTCTCCAGATGCTGCCGACTGCCTACCACGCTGACCAGCTCAGAAGGCACCTGACAAGCACCCTGATGGGCGTCCCCGCTCCCAGGTGAAATAAAGATCGAGTCTTAAAAGACAAGCAACGGCTGCTCACATTGGTGTGCTGCGTACACGTGGCAGTTGGGAGAGACAGCAAATGGGTGGGTGGAGGGGGCCAGGGTAAAAAAAAAAAATATCCCTGTCCCTAGGTTTGTCAAGCACACTTGTAAGACCTCCCACTGTCAGCAGACCCCCCGTCTCACGAGAGCGACCCAGTCTGTCTCCTGCCAGGAGCAGGTGCTACCTGGCAGCGGCCGCATCTCACCAGGCACTGACCTTGCTCGTCTGGTTTGGTCTGATCCCAGGCCCGCGCACCAGGAGTGGAACCTTGATATCGAATTCATACAGCTGTCTTTTGTCTATTGGCAAAGAAAACTGTCCTGAAAATAAAAAATATAGAGACGGAGCCAAGACAGAAGCGTTACTCACAGACCCATTCATTTCATTGATAGCAAAACTGAAAAAAACTTGGGGCTACTGATTATGGCATTTTACTAGCTGAAATGATGAGCTCATCCTCTTTAAATAAACGCCCCGAGACTCCCCGCTCCCAGACGAGACAAATGAAAACAAACGAACGAGACGGGACGGTACACACATACCTAAAGTTCACGTATGATGCGCGGCCTGATCACAACTGAACGAGATTATTCTAAAAGCCAGATAAAAAAAAAAAAAAAAAAATCCCGAATACTTCCTGGCATTTCAAAATAATCAAACAATCCACGAGAAGTTCTACTCTGGTGAATGCCAGCTAGCTGCAGAGGGAGGGACAGAGTTGTGAAGTCAGTATTTTGCAATTTCTGGACTAAAGGAATGAAGTAACGATCATCCACGGAAGCTCCAGCCACAGAAAGGTTCACAGGAAGGACTCAGGCTGAGACCATGAGTCACTCCTACAGAAGGAAACCAGACACACGCCCTCAGGATGTGACGCAACAGAGAACACAGCAGCATCACCTAGAAAGCGTTCTCACCTGAAAACGTGAATCTCTATTTGGACTCTAAGCTTAACCACCGATCTATAGGAAATGCTAAATACAGACGAGGTAGCATGAGGCAGCAAGTAGCCAACTGCAGCACGTGACAGCCTTTTAAGGGGTACTTGATTTATTCAGTTCACTTCTTTTTTTTTTTTTTAATAGAGGCATGTTTTATTTATTTGTTTGTTTGTTTGTTTATACATGCACTGGGTACAGTCAGAAGCGCGGGAGGGTGAGAGAATTCACCAGAGCCAGAGCGGGGGGCAGAGCAGGCAGAAGGACCGAAGGACACTGCTGAGGGGAGCAGCGGGCGGCAGGAGAGGTCTGCGCGCCATGTGGGACCCTCCTCCGGTGGCCGGGGAGCAGCCGGGGATGGAACCGGCGCCTTAGAGGCCGCGGGCAGCTTCGCCACCCAGCGCTCTACCGCTGCGCCACCGGGGAGGTCCTATTCAGTTCACTTCTAATAGGTGACGAGAGCCGCAGCTTTATGAAAAGACAGGTGGGGAGGTCTCCGTCTGCCCAGCTGTCGCTCCTTCATGATTTATCACTTTATAAAAACACCATGTAGTTTATTCCCCTCTCCCCTACTTCCTAGAGACCAGAAGGGCTTCATTAAATTCAAATGAAGCCTTGAGGGGCACAGAACACGCCATGGGGCCTAATTTCTCGTTAGAAATTAGGCAGCAGAGAGGGTGACAACGAGGCCCTTTGACCGCCAAGTTCTGTCCCTTAGGCACCTCGGGTGTTTTGAGCCCCACCCATGCCCAGTTCCTCCTCAGCCATAACCCCATGACTTTATCTCATGACCTCTGGGGCGGGATGGCAGATGGAGAAAAACCCGTCCTTGGTGATTAGCAGTTACTGATCTGCTTAAATCAAAAGTTTCAAGTACGGTTTCATAATGGTAATTTTCTAAATCTATTATTTTATATAGATCAACTGTAACTCTTCTGTGACGCTGAGCTTTGCCTTATCAGCTGGGACTGTTTGGTAAATGTGAAGTATAATTTCTCCTGAAAAGACAGGATAAAAACGTTTCTTCTTTTGAGTTACCAAGTGTAAAGTTGATCTGGTTTAACTGTGCTCGATGGTGACCACAGACGCTCTTCTGCTCACTCACTGCACATTCCTGCACACTCGGGCTGCCGCAGGCTCAGCGTCAGCTACGCAGTCTTTCTGATGCTCACACTGTCCTACCTCTGCCAGCTGCAACCTCAGCGAGCTGGACTCTGTGCCCAGTGAGGGGCTCGTATTTATCTGTGAAAAAACTCTGGCCCTTCACCTGTCCCTCCTTGTCCCAAACCAGAAGCCAGACATTTCTTAAAGAATTCTGGCTCCTTAGAACATGACACATTCCAAAGGATGAGACCAGTTCTTCCCCGAATAAATCAGTGGCAAACAATAGCCCTGGGAGAAAAGAAAAAATAAAAGCAGCGCAGACTCTGCTAAACCCGACAGTCAGGTACGTAATCAAGTGGGATCACAACATCTGTGAGTGTCTGCAAAACCTTCCGGCAAAAAACAATCAAACACGGGGACGATAAGGACACACGGAGCCTGACCACATGCAGCTGACCCTGCCGAAGCTGGACAAGGGACGTTATTCCACGAGCCTTTAGATATTTAAAAATAGTCGTAACAATAATACTCTAAGTGTCTAATCAAACCGTCCCTATGCAAGCAGGTCTGTTAATTCCATTCAGATGGAAGTTTGTAGATGGGGAAAGAAAACATTTGCTTGTAACTACAGAAGGCCCAAGCAGAAATTCTAGACCAAAGTCAAGGGCTTGAGGTTGATTCATGCTGTGGTTTTGACAACATTAAAAAACAAAAAACCACACACGAAACTAATTTCACAGGAACAGAGCCCCTGCGTCCTCCACAAGCTTCTCTCTGTCCTTCTGCATGAAACATGGTTACCCCACTTTCAAAGGTCTGCTCGACCTTTTATCTACTTCAGCTTCTTACTCTTCAGGACGTCGGCCTCCAACCCACCCCTCCTACTCTGCTGCCGGCTCCTGGAAAACTGTGCCTTTCCATATGCAGAACAGCCAACAGTGAAACCTGGCGCGTCCAGGTGGGGACGAACTGGCCTCTATGTGGAGGGACCCGAGGGCCGGCCTCCGCCCGGCCTGCCCTCTGCCTGCCTGCTGCTGGGAAGAGCTGGGGCTGCCTGCCACCCACGCGGTGAACAGGGAAAGGACACGTGGTCCTGCGCCTCACCTGTGTGGTAGCCGTTGTCTGAGGTATAAAAGATGTAAGTGTTGTTGAGCTCCCCGTTAAACTCCAGTCTCTTGACCAGTTTCTCCACAAGATCATCGACAGAGAGGAGAGTCTGCCACCTGGACATGGGCGAGGGAAGCAGCAGTCTTAGCGTCAGAGCCGGGGCCCACCGTCTCCCACAGAGGAAGGAAACTCACCCCAAAGCAAACACTCAGGGAAACCTCCAAAGCAAAACGTTCAGAGCCACCCTCCCAGCAGCTCAGGTCCCCTATTATCTTTCGCCACATTAGAAAAATCAGATTAGAAAATTCCAGAACATAATTAGTTCACCCCAAATCTAACTGAAGTTTCTTTATGTTTTTTTTTTTTTTTTAAAGATTTATTTATTTATTTACACAAGCACTGGGCACAGTCAGAGGTGCGGGAGGGTGAGAGGATCCACCAGAGCCAGAGTGGGGGGCAGAGCAGGCAGAAGGACCGAAGGACACTGCTGAGGGGAGCAGCGGGCGGCAGGAGAGGTCTGCGCGCCATGTGGGACTCTCACCCATTGGCCGGGGATTGAACCGGCGCTGCGGAGGCTGCGGGCAGCTTCGCAGCCCAGGGCTCAACCGCTGCGCCACCGGGGAGGCCCTCTTTATAATGTTTTATTATTTATTCCTTTATAATGTTTTATTATTTATCCCTAGTGGTGAGACAGAGGAGGGACAGTGGGCAGCTCTGTACTGGCTCACAGAGGTGAGTGTAGGCAGATTTATCACACAATAGTGCGTAGCAGCCCCAAGTAGGGGTCAGCAGGCCAGAGCCCATGGGCTAAACTCCGTCCACTGTCTGTTAAGCTGTTTATTTAATCGTAAAAAACACAAAACTTGAGATTTCTCTTCCCAACCACTTTAAGTGTATAGGTCAGCGTGTTAAGTAAAATTCATGCAGTGAACAGACCTCCAGAACTTTCCATCTTGCAAATCTGAATCTCTCCCCTAAACCATGCACTGTCCTTCCCTTGCACTAACACATCTTGCTGGCGCGCAGCCCTGCTCAGTCACATTGCCCAGGCCGCCTCTGCTCCGGCAGCAGCGCCGGGCCGCTGTGATAAAGACCGTTTGCCCTGCGGTGCTGTAACAGGGTCTGCCTCTGTGCAGGGAAAGTTCACTGACTACAACCTAAATTCTTCATAGCCTAAGAGAAAGTTGGTGAATTTTGAAAAAGTGACTTAAAAGAATTTCTTGAAAATTTCAAGCCACAAAGGCAAATGCTTGGCTCTAGATTCAGCCTTCGGATCTTATGCACGTATCAGAGCTCTTCTCTCCAAGTGAACTTTTCTGTGGACACGGGACAAAGTGAAATTTTCTTCGCACTCCAGTTTGCAACATGTATTAACAAGTAATAAAACTGGATTGCTTGATCAGTCCTTGGTCCAAAGGCCGCCTCATCTACAGGCAATGAGAAATGGACAGACCTCTCTGCCCGTGACAGCCGCCTTCCCATCAGAAGGTCTCTCCCGCCAACGTGCTCCCCGCCCTCGGATGTGTGTCTTGGAGACAACATGCGGCGCAGGCCCTGTCCCGAGCGGATCTGGAGCGTCCCAGAGACCAGCCAGGTGGAGCAAGCAGCAGTTCTTACCTTTTCCTAAATGCGTTATCTAAAAACTGTATTGAAGAATTGGTCATTGGGGTCTTAGCTTGCCTGATTAGCCAGTGCTTGTTCTGGAATTGGAAAGAAAAAAACTGTTAACAAGTCACACAGTCAAAATAAACTCAATAATAAGGCTCACTCTGTAGTTTAGCGAGAAGGAACAACCTTGAACCCATTTAAGGAACCTCAACCTTGCTTGTTCTTCACTTGCCCCTCCCCGTTAAAAAAAGGACCGGAACCTCTGCACATCGGCACTCGCGCCTTCTTTCAATTCCTCCCGCCTCCCTGACGGTGAGGGCCCGGGCGCCTTAGTTATTCACATTAGGAAGGGGCTCAGCCAATGACTTGGGAAGCTACTGGCTAAAATGAAGCGGAATGTGTGCTTCTGAGTCTAGAATTTTCGTCTACGAGCCAGACTTGACCTTTCCCTAACTCCGCCTGGTACGTCATCACTCCCCTGTCCTCGACTTTCCTACCCGCATGACCCCAGAACCGTGGGACAAATCTCGCAACAATTTCTTAAAATTTCAAGTCCAAATCCGGAGCATTCCCGTGTAAATAAAAAAGCCACGTTTTTAAAAACAAAAGCGTTCTCGGACAGTATTAACTCTCTCCGCCCCCATGACGAAACCCTGCATCAGCTCCCAAACGAGGCTCCTCAAAGTCGTCTTTAGCGCATGGGAGAAATGCTGGTGCCGCCTCCTCCCGAAAACCCACGCGAACACGAGCCACGGGGAAATCCTGCGCAAAGGGACGTACTTAAGCCGCCGTCTGAGGGCCGCGAGCTCCTCTCGGACCACAGCCTGAGACTGCCCTTTAGGTAAAACCCAGTTCGCCCAGTGCTGAAATCGTGCTTCAGCGTGGCCCGCCACATGCCAGGTGGGATGCGGGTGCCTCATGTCCTTTGTGCCAGGCCGCGGCTACCCAAGATGGGCATCGCCCCCGTCCACAGGAGGGCGTCAAGCACCCTGCTCAGGCCAGGTCACTTAGCTGGAAAGTGGCAGTGCTCGGGCTAACGCCCAGACTCAATCTTTCTGCCACCTCCCAGGTCATTAAAGCGTCTGCGTTACAGGCACGCGGGGCAGGGCACGCGGGGCAGGGCACGCGGGGCAGGGCACGCCGCCTTTCAGCCCCAGGGTGCCATACCCCTGTGCTAAGGAGAGTAACTTGAGCTGTGCTTTAATACACCTTCATCTCCCCGAGCGCAGCTTCCTCGGTGGCTGCCAGGCGGGAGAGAGCGAGCGCGCAGGAGGCCGGAGCACCGGCAGCTGAGAGACGGCATGTCCACACCTTCCCCTGGCGTGCAGCAAGAGCCCCGTCTACCTGTGCTCCTGAAGCAAGCGCACGCCACCAGGTGAACTTGAGGTGGGTACAATACCTTTAAAATATCTGGAAGGAAACCAGCTACCAGGTCGAAGGTTCCCCACAAATACATCACAGTGTAAGTGCACTGAGCATGGCTCATTCTGGGGGGGAGTTACCGTTCCGTGGATGTTGAAGTTCTTGCTTCTCGGTGCAGAGACGTTCTGGAAGGCCTTCTGGTACTGCGGGGCGGCCGTCCACGGGGAGTGAGGCGCCGGCGTGGAGATGAGCATGAAGAACGGCTCGGAGTTGGACTTGTAGTCCAGGAAGTCCAAGGAGACGTTAGCCTGACACACAAAGACGGGTCATCTCCGGCCCTGCCAGCAGCAGAGGACCCGACAGACACCCTCTGGTGAACAGGAGGTTCGGGGTCACACCAGCTGTTAACCCGTCTCGGCACACCATTTATACAGCAGTCGTTTGTAAGCATATCGTAGGGACAAATATTTGACTTTCAAGCAACACTGGGATTGAAAAGCAGACCACCCTAGAAAGGCAGTAGAGCTCTTGGTGCCTTCACATGATCTAGAAATTGTTATGCCTCCCAGAAAGAAAGAAACGGGAATTTGGTGATTTAGTATTGACTCACAGGAACACAACCAGGAGTATTATTTGATGACTAATTATAAGGAGTCACCTTAATTCACAGGAATGAGGGTGGTGGATTATGTTACCTTGGCCTTAAAACAGAGAGAGTAGCTAACATAAGTTACTGACGACTGGAATAGTTACGCTGAATGAGTAATATTGAATCCAAATACATCTTGAACTTGGGAATAAGACTGGGGTCAGCAGTAGGAACCCGTCCAAAGTAAAACCTCTACAAAGTCATTTCTCTAGTCTTACAGATTAGCCTTTGGAAAGGGATTTGTGGCTGGAATTTTAAGAACATTAGTGCTGAGCCTGGCTTTTATACAGAGAAAAACCCCCTCCGGATTCTTAATGAGTTGAAAACATTCCTGGCCACTGAATTATCATACAGTCACATTATTTAACGTGAAAAAATACATTACTACGTTTTCCAGGCAGAGTCTTGAATTAAATGTGAGTCTGCTCTGCAAGGACAGAGTCTTAGTAACTTACCAAAACATCGGTCAGGTAGTCCACGCTATAGTTTCCGCCATGCCTCCGTGCCTTCCCGTTGATAGAGAGTGTATAGTTATAGTATTTAGAATTCTTTTCCTATTAAGGAGAAGAGAGTCAAGTTTGTCATGAGGTCACTGTACAAAAATGAAAGCTAAAACCCATGCTGGGCTAATGATGCTGTTTAAATAGTGATAAGATTTTTAAAAAGGTAATTACTCAGTCAATATTGAATTGGATTTTTGAACTAGGGTTTTATTAACTACGAGCATAGTTTCAACAATAGGTCCTTTTTCCAAAAGCCAGAAGTGGATCAGGTAGAACAGCAAACTATGTATAATCCAAGAAAAACACCTCAGAAAGGAGATTACTAGACAGATTACTAGATTTCTTTTAAGGAAATAAAACAATCATAAAAACAAACTTAAGTTATGTCTATATCAGAGATGAATTAGGAAGAGTATTTTGCGTCTGGAGGGCTGTGTGCACTGGTCACTGCCTGCAACAGTCACTCACCAAGGCATACCAGTAGCTCCAGCCCAGGGGAATGTGCTCTAGTCCGCCTGCGTCGGGGGCTCCGTACTGCAAAGCAAGACAGCAGGACATGAGAAGTGCCGGGACAGCCAGGCCCGAGAGAGACAGGACGCTCTCAGAATTGTTTCAGATCACGCCCGAATCAGAGTGGATACTCCGTTCCCCCGAGCATGGACTCGTGAAAGGGTGAAGAGCGCTGTGTCCCTAGACACTCCTCCAGTAGACAGACTACAGTTAGCCCAGTCTACACTTGCAAACTGTTCTGCATGGCCAGCGAGCTCAGAACTGTTTTCCCAACCATTAAACAACACTAAAAACCAAAAAAAGGAATGTTTTGTGACATGTGATGGTTACAAAAAATTCAAATTGCAGTGAAGATAAAGGTTTTTTGGAGCACAGACAGGCTCAGTGGCTCATATAATGTCTCTGGTCACTTCCACAGGAGGCTGCAGAGCTGGGAAGCCACAAGGGCTATGGCTGTGCAGTCTACAGTATCTGTCCTTTGGCCCTTGACAGAAGAGGTCCGCACACCTTAGCCCACAGGCCGAGCTACTGTCGGCACAGGCAGAACAGCTCAGCTGACCGCATAGCTAGGAACAAAATAAAAGACTGTGAGTTCTTCATCAGCCCGCTAACTTCAGTTGTTCTTCTGAGGAGATCTACCCCTGGAGTTCAATTCACCCGATGGATGGGTCAGGGGAGAGCCACAACCGCCGTTCCGTTTCGCCGCGACAAGCCTAACACCGTACTGCGACCTTGGCAAGGTTTAAATCAATTAGAATTAATTAACCCTTGACAACTAAATCTTGGCACTTTAAAGAATTTCTCCAAGTGTTACGTCCATGCTGGATGCTTACGAGCCTGCAGAGCAGGGCAGGTTCTCTACGACGCAGAGCCTTGCCGCAGTGATCTGCATCTGTACTGGATTTTCACGATTCTTTTCAAACTGATTCATCTTCCTTCCAACTCACAAAGTGATAAATCTCCCCAATTACGAGGGGAAGAGTTAACAGAAAATTCAGATTTTAAGGTCTCCAGTGAACACAGATAAAGTACACAGGAAAACATACATGTGTTCACTGTCCTGCATCTCCAGTTTTACCCAGAAGCTCACACACTATTTCCGTGACGCTTGCACCCTGACGAAAAGGTAGCGCCATGCGGTGGGCCCAAGGCCATGAGATCTGGCCTGGCAGGTCACCACAAGGCACCCTCCCTCCGCCAGGAGGCCAGCACACGCTGCAATGGCCCAGAGCTCTGGGGGCTGGGGCGCCCCCTCTGCTAGTTCCCATTCTTCACCGTAGCCAACAGGCTGAGCATTGTGTTATTACAGTTCAGGGGAGATTCTAAAAAGATCTTCACTTTGAGAAGGTGAAAGGGATCCTGGTGAAGAGGAACTGGACGGCCCCGTGACAGCTGTGTGACCAGCACAGCTCTGGGGAGGGGAGGGGCGCACCCGCCAGCAGCAGGCTCGGGCCAATCTATGAAGAAACTCCCCCGAGGCTGTTGCAAGGAAGCGCAGCTGTAGTACAGAAACCACGACGGTGTGTTTATGTCCAGTAATTCTCGATGAACAGTCAGGTGAAGATAAAACAACATATACTACAGCTTTTTCTTAAACTGATACTCATTAAAAACAGCATGAATTTACACTCACATTTGAAAAACGAGTAAGAGGGAACAGCCTTTTCAACATACCTCGTTCAAGTATTTCCCTGCAAAAAAGGTTTGGTAACCACACATTGAGTTGAGAATTGCTGGGAAAGTATTTGGTTCTTGGATCTTCTGCCAAGACTTGCTGCTGCAGTTCCCCTCTAAAGTGTTGTTCACCACGTGGTGGTTGTGAGGGTACTTCCCCGTCAGGATGCTGGCGCGGCTGGGGCAGCACAGGGCACTCGGCACGTACTACAAAGGGGACAGGGGTGAAGGACACGGTCACAGGAGATTCTGCCCTACTTACTAAAATGCGAAAGGAAAGCTGCTCAACAGTCTAAACTTCAAATTTCTAGTTTCCCATGGAAGAGTCTCTACACGACAAACCGCAGCTGCTGTATGTCACGCAGACAGTCCAGCAGATTAAACCAAACACGAGAACAGATTTTTTTCCCCAGGTGGTTCCTTTCTGCAAAATAAAGTGAGTTACTCGACTCTCATCCGCCAAAGAAGTAATGTTTATGTGCAAGGAGCAAAGCACAGTGGGAGCTGCATCTTAACCAAAGGTGAAGGCCACGGCCTGACTCCAAAGCAGGCGAGCAGCAGAGTTCGCTTTCAGGCTGGCCTGGCGTTTCTAAGCGCTTCCTGTCCCACTTTAAACAGGACCGAGGAACTTGCTCCTACTTTGTATCTGTGAGCCCCGTCATCAAGGCGTCCCCCGTCCAGCTCAACAGTATTTGTGTGAGTCTCAGTGTGCATCACGCAGCCACTCACGGAGGGCAGGCCCTGGCGGACGCTCACACGGAGGGCAGGCCCTGGCGGACGCTCACACGGAGGGCAGGCCCTCGCGGGTGCTCACACGGAGGGCAGGCCCTGGCGGACGCTCACACGGAGGGCAGGCCCTGGCGGACGCTCACACGGAGGGCAGGCCCTCGCGGGTGCTCACACGGAGGGCAGGCCCTGGCGGACGCTCACACGGAGGGCAGGCACACGCAGGAGAGCACATATTCGCCAAAACTACACACTATCCTTTTCAAAAACTTAGTATTTGGTCTTTTCAAACTGAATGTGTGGGGTAACATCCCCACTGCGCACTGGCCAGCTGCACCTATGTGATGCTTCCTGGGCTTTACCCGTTCTTCCTCCTGGGGCTGCTGGACGCTTGTCACGTGGTATGAGTCAAGGTGGGTGCAGTCAGGTGACAGATACGCACGATTTTTTCCTTTAAGTTTTGGTCGATGTTTGTCTTTAGAAATCTCCACATCGACAACTTTTAATTCTTTCCCTTTGTTTCCTGACCTACTTTCTGGCCAGCGCCACGCTGTTTACTGTGTTTTCTGATCGCATTTTAGCATTCGATAGCGCAGGTCTTCCATTAAAGAGATTCATTGACTTTCCTAACCTATTTATTATTCCAGATAACTTTGGAATCACAACTCAGTATAAAAAAATCTTGTTAGGATTCTTATTAGAATAAAATTTTACAATATTGTGTCATCCCACAGAAAATGATGTGCACACATTAAATACTTTATCATTCACAAAGTTCTTAGACTTTATTTATACGGATGTTGGCCATTACTGGCTGCGAATATCTGTTTTCCTGCTCCGTGAATGTAATATTTTCTATGCTTCTCTGATTGGTTATATGGAAGAAAGTTATTCTTTTCATTTCTACCTTACTCAATTCTACTAGTTTCCCAGTAATCCTATGTTCTCTACGTGGCAAGTCCAAACAAGTGAAAGTAACTTGCTCTCTGTCCAGCAGGTGCCCGGACCCCACAAGATGACGGCGCTCACGAGGCGGCTCCTGACCCACTCAACGGGAGTGGGTGGCTCTCACCTCGTCCAGCAGCAGCGCCGCGCGTCTTCCCCTGGGACTGTAAGGTGGACTATTTGCTTCCAACAGCCATCATAGGAACGATGTGGCCTTCAAACAGTTTACTAAATTACCAGGAAAGGATGCTGCCACGAGGATTTTCAAGCATCCTTTGAGCTGAAAATCTACTTTTCCCTCTCGCAGCCGATGGCCTCACATGACGGGCAGAACCGCCGCATGCAGCGTTGCTGTGAGCCGGGCGCCTGTGAAAGTGCAGGCCCTACAGGTACCAACTCACTCAACTTAAAAAAACAGGTAGTTTTTATATGATGGGGAAATACAAAGGATGTATTTAACTTAATACAAAGGATGTGTGTAATAACCGATCCAAGTCACACAGCTAGGAAGCGGCGGTGACAGTATTCAAAGCTCAAGGACTGGGCTCCTGAGCGTGTGGTCCAGAGCGCGTTCCATGCCGCTGGTGTCAAGCAGGTACCTTAAGGGGCTACAGTTTTGTTTCTTTGACTTTTATTTCTGTGTGTGTATGTGCGTGTTTTGTTGCTATTTTTATCTTTGTCGAGCTTGGCTCTCAGGCTTTATAAAACGGCCTGCCAACTTTTACCATGGAACCATTCACAAATGTTACTTGAGTCTTATACATCATCTTCAAACCTGAAAGAGTGGGCGTGAAATAAAATTCTGTGATCCTGAGTTGTAGAACATACTGGCTTAGAAAATACCAGTAACTAATCTTCAACTGGTATAAAATATGATTTCAATGAAAACAATGTACATCACGTTAAATAAAAATCCTTTTTTCAGATCAGGCATTGAGGAAAAAAACTGAGGAAAAACATTGTATCAGACAACACTGAAAAGTGTCCTCAGAACATAAATACAAGTCTAATAAAATTAAAGCAGCTTTGAAACTTACAGCGCTGGAGAAAGTCATGCCCATCTCTCCGATGAGAGCCTTTGTTTTCTTTAGGGGTGTCTGTAAAGCAAGAAATTATCTGTTAAATGATCTCTTCCAGGGCCTCCCTGGTGGCGCAGCGGTTGAGCGCTGGGTTGCGAAGCTGCCCGCAGCCTCTGCAGCGCCGGTTCGATCCCCGGCTGCTCCCCGGCCACCGGAGGAGGGTCCCACATGGCGCGCAGACCTCTCCTGCCGCCCGCTGCTCCCCTCAGCAGTGTCCTTCGGTCCTTCTGCCTGCTCTGCTCCCCGCTCTGGCTCTGGTGAATTCTCTCACCCTCCCATGCTTCTGACTGTACCCAGTGCTTGTATAAATAAATAAATATTAAAAAAAAAAACGATCTCTTCCAAAGAATTAAAACCAACCAAAATGCACATGCCTTGCATCTTCCTCTCACTCCCACATGGCCAGCTCCACCTGACACAGCTCAAGGGCATCCCGCCCTTCCAAAGAGACCCAAACGAGGTGGTCATGGCCACACGTCCTGTGCAAGGCCAGGAGGCCATGTTCGCAGGAAGGGACAGGTCCAAGCTGATGGCACTGTTCTAGCAAAGCTGATTTCAATGTAATTAAACTCTGGTGTCACGTTCTCTTTTGTCAGCAGCCCTCGCACAAGACGGGGCGGAACTGTGTTCGTTCATCTCTAGAAGCAGAGCGTGGGGACTAACTGAGAGAAGTCTTCTTTGAGACAGATACGTGAAATTGCTTCGGTTCTGAAAGCCAGACGAGGTCCTGAGACCTACAGACCGACTCAGTGGTGGAGCCCAGAGGCCATTTTCAACCATTACTGTGCGCTCACGGCGGCTCTGTACCCACAGCCACCTCACAGGCGCTGGGCCAAGGGCAAACAGGTGCACTCGCCCGGCAAGCAAAGGCCTCGTCACAATTTACTTTTTTTTTTTTTTATAGAGGCATGTTTTTATTTATTTATTTATTTGTTTGTTTGTTTTGTTTATACATGCACTGGGTACAGTCAGAAGCACGGGAGGGTGGGAGAATTCACCAGAGCCAGAGCGGGGAGCAGAGCAGGCAGAAGGACCGAAGTACACTGCTGAGGGGAGCAGCGGGCGGCAGGAGAGGTCTGCGCGCCATGCGGGACCCTCCTCCGGTGGCCGGGGAGCAGCCGGGGATCGAACCGGCGCCGCAGAGGCCGCGGGCAGCTTCGCAACCGAGCGCTCAACCGCTGCGCCACCGGGGAGGCCCACAATTTACTTTTATTCTTGTTCTTTATCTTTTGTTCAGTGATTTATTTCAAATCACATAGTCAGATTTATTCTCATTCATGGACTTCAAAACTTTTTCACCTGATTTTGAGGAGCAGCACCCAATCATAAAACAGAAGAGACCAGCAAGGGTGCAGTTAGTATGTAAAGTGCGTGACAAGCGTTGCCTGACAGCACAGCCGCCTCCTGGTGCTGTCAGAGAAGCAGATGCCTCTGGCAGAGAACACCTGGAGGACACCCAACTTCCCTTTTAGGGTGAATGATTTGAAAAAGAGCAAGTTGTACTTCCGTGAAGAAGGATGTCCAACACGCCATGACAGCATTCAAGTAAAATCAAGAAAGAGGAATAGCTCCCTGGGCAAAAAACCTAAAGATTAAAAACAGCCTCACAACGATGCCTGCCACAGATGCAGTGAGATGTCAGTGACACCACATGAAGACAGCGATGACTGAGAGACTCCACCTTAAACTACCATCGCACACGTTGTAATCTTTTGCCCTGGGTTGGCTGAGGAACCGACTACTGTTTATTTTGCCAACTATGGGGCCAATTCAGAATCTTCTCTGGGTCAGAGGTCACCCTCTCTCCGCAAAAATGAAGAGTATAAACAAAGTATTAGACATAAATTAAGGGGTTCCATGCCCCCCCATCCCTAAATGTCACTGGAGACTCTCATCTGACATGTGTGACTAAGAAAGAGGAAGAGCTGGTGTGGGTAGGTCAGCACTGACAGAATTCTCTAGAAGCAAAAGCATGTGACTCCGAGATCACAAGGCACCTGGGCTGACCAGCTACAGGAACCTTGTCCAAGCGACTTAACCCCCCAACTCTTCCTTTTCTCCTGTTTCAATTTAGGAAAATGCCCTCAGGAGAGCCCCTTGGTGACCAGAGCGCAGCCATACAGCGTCTCGCCCTCCGGCTCCGGGCAGGTGCTCGAAAGCCCTCAGCCTGCGCGGCCCTTCAAGCGCGTGAAACCAGCGGGAGACTTGGGAGAAGCTGCGGGGGACGCGGGGGGCGCCCCAGGGGCGCACTGTCAACCTGGGCTTATTGCCCCCGCTCTGGGGTCGCTCCTCCCTGCACGGACACCGGCTTAAAGGACCAGACGAACGGCACGCGGCGGGGCGAGGCCTCCGACACCCGAAGACCCATCTGAGGTCACCGGGAGGAGGCGCGGAGCCCCGGAGGCCTCCTGAGGGGACGCGCTGTTTGCCGAGATCCCGAGGGCCAGGAATGCGGCTGGAGGGTTTGCTGCTTCTCACAAACTTCCCCGAGCAAAACCACTTGTTAAAGGGACGGGCTGCGAGGGGATGAGGGGGGAGGCCGGGGTAGGGGGACCCGGGGAAACGCAGGAGGGCGGGGAGCGCCGGACCCTGGGCCCTGGCTGGGCAGGAGAGACACTGAGACTCGGGCAGGAGGCACGGCCGCGACCCCGCCCCAGCCCCACGCCCTGCGAACACGCGCTCGCGCCTCAGCCCCGGCCACGCACGGCCGCGCTCGTCTCCCCCGCGCCCCGGGCAGCTGCTCCCGGCTCCCCCGCACGGCCGGGCTGGCCTCCCTCCCCGGGCGCTCGGGCCTCCTCGCCGGGGCCCCGTGGTCGCGGCACAGGGGGGGGACGAGGGGCACTCGGGGCACAAGGGGGCACTCGGGGCCGGCGGGAGGGCCGCGGGCGCGGCTGGGGGGGGGAGGCCCCGCCAAGCGGGAGACGGGGGCGGGGGGCGGGCGCCGGGTCAGCCACGCGCGGGAGCCGCGGCGGCTCGGGAGGGGCCGGAGTCGGGGCCGGCCCGCGGAGGGGCCAGGGCGGCCGCCGACCCCGCAGCGGGCCCCGCGCGCTCCCCGCCGCGGCCCGGCTGCCCCGACCCCGCAGTCCCAGGGGCCTCCCGGCGGCGCGGGCCCGAGGCCGGGGCGCGCAGGTGCCTCACCCGCAGGGCGGCGGGCGGGCTGGGGGCCGGGGGGCCGGGGGGCCGGGGGGCCCGGGGCTTGGGGCGCGTTACCATGCCGCCGAGCAGCGCGTCCTGGTCGTCCGCGAGCAGCAGCACCACGTTGGGCCTCCGCGCCGCGCCCCCCGGGCCGCCCAGCAGCAGCAGCAGCAGCAGCAGCGGCAGCAGCGGCGGCAGCGCCGGGCAGCGCGCGGGCGGGCGGCGGGGGCCGCCGGGGGGCGGGGGCCGGCGCCGCATGGCCTCGGCCCGGCTGCCCGGGCGGGTGCGGGCGCGGCGGCCGGGTCGGGCGGGGGGCGGCGGGAGAAGAGCCGCGCCGAGGGCCGGGGCCGCGTCGCTGCCGCCGGTCACGTGAGCCGGGGCGGGCCCGGAGCGCGTCACGTGAGGCCGGGCGGGGGCGGGGCGCGCCGCGAGTCACGTGAGGCCGGGCGGGCCCGGAGCGCGGCGCGTGGTCTAGGCGCGGGCGCGTCACGTGACCGGCGGCGGCGCGGGGGCCGGAAGCGGAGACGCGCGGGAGGCGGCGGGGACGGCGCCCGGCCCCGCGGCAGGTCAGTGCGCGCCGGCGGGTCAGCCCCGAGGCCGGCGCCGGGTCCCTGCTCGGGCCGCACCCCGCGCGCGTTCTCGGGGACCGGCGGGGCGCCCGGGCCGCCCGGGTTTTCGGGGACTTGCGTGGAGGCGCGGGGCGGCCCGTGGTCGCCCGAGCCCGCGAGCGCGTGATTCCAGGACCGGGGCCCCGGCGGGCTGAGGTGGCGGGGACGGCGCCGCTTCCTCCGCGGGGTCCGCCGAGCCCACGCCCGGGGCGAGCCGCCCACCCGCCCCCCGAGCGGCGGCCGGAGCCTCCCGACGCCCCGCGGCGCGCGTGCTTCCCCGCGCGGGGCCGTGGGGCGCGAGCCGTCTGCGGGGAACCCCCGGGGCGCCCGTCCACGGCCGAGTAACTGTGGGGCTGCTTCGGGGTGCGTGTGTGCGGCTGTGGGGCGACGGGAGAGGTGTTGCCTGTGTTCTGTTACGCTTTTATTTTTAGTTTTTTTTTTTTTTTATTACTTAAAAGTAAGTCTACAGAAGACAGGAGAATCTTCCAAAATGGAATTCCATTGCAGGAAAAAATTACACTGGGAATGCGCTCAGAGTAGTTTCCAGATGCCTGGAGTACCGGGGAAGTGAAAAACCTTTTACAAGTACTTCACATGACTTCCCACGCAGTGTTACGCGCCGCTGGAACAACTAACTGCCGTGTGTTCAGGTTTCAGCACTTCCAGGAGGATTTGCACAAAAAAAGAAAGAACCTGTTCCATCTGCATTGAGGCCCCACATTGTGAAATCATATCATTGTTTTTGGTTCAAGGCTAGATGCATAACTAGAAGCCAGCTTTGTTCCAAGTGCTAGGCTGGTGCGGAGGCGACACTGTCCTTTCATGGAACTTGCTAGCTAGTGGCAGAGAGATCCAGTCTCGTAACCACAGAAGTGTGTAGTTACACATTGGGAGACATGCTGTGAAGGAAACGTGAAGATAGTTAAAGTGGAGAAATGTTCCTGGCCATGTAAGGCAGCTGACCTAGCCCAGGTGTCCTGAGGAGGCAGCTTTGAGTGACTGTCAGAAGTTTAAATAGATAATTTGCTGCTGGGAGAGCGAGTGGCGAGAAAGCCTTTGGGCACCGAGTACAGCCTGCACAGAGGCAATTAGAGGGACAACGAACTAAAAATCTGGTGTGGTTGGAGCGAGGTGGACAGGGACATGCAGAGGCAGGCAGGACCTAGATCTATGTTAAAGATTTGGGTCCTTATTCTAAGGTAATGGTAAGTCACAGGAAGGATGGAGGCAAGACACATATGCATTTTTATAATATTTTTGTGCTGTGCCATGGTGGGCAGATTAGAAGAATGAAAAAAGGTAGATCAGCTGCATGGCGGAAGGTGATGGTGATGGGCAAATTCAGATTTTGGGAGGCCTGAAGCTTATGTATAATTTTGCAAGGGTGGCTCCTTAAGAAAAACAGTAAGTTGTAAATTGTTGCGACAGGGACTTTGTTGCCGCTGCTCCGCGGTGGGCACTTGATGAGGATGCAGCAGTCAGGGAGCAGGTTTGCGAGCCCAGACTCCTCACTGGAGCAGGTCTTGTGCCATTTATTGAAAACACACAGGCTAGTAAAAGCTGACGGTGTGACAATGGTATGAGAAACAAAATCCGGAGGGTGGGAGAGGAATAGGGGACAAGGTTTTACGGGGTACAGGGAAGGGGACATCAAGGCCATACGTCAAGAGACATCTGTGTCAGCAAAGTAGGATGTTAACACAGGCAGAGTCATCCGGAGACGGCGGTGGAGATAGTCACGTAATCAGGTCGGCCTAGGCCTGGGCATCCCGGGCCTGCCTCCTGACACGAGCCAACTCTGCAGGTGGTCAAGGATGCTCTGCTGGGATTTGTAGAGAGCAAACAGGTTACAGTTGCCATGAGCAGCCAGCTAGGAGCCAGCTTGTAGGAACCCACAATAAATACAAAAGTGGATATTTACACTAAGAAATCATAATGTTAAAAACTATCACAAAAAATTTTAACAACATGTTTTTATTATTTACTGCCAAACACACCTCTCCATACTTTTTTCTACTTTTTATGGCTGGGTACTATTTAATCATCTCTCCGTGTGACGATATTTTGTAATACTTTCTACAGAGAGAACAGAAAGGTAATTTGGTCTTCTCTAGCATAGTTGATCAGTATTTCTTAGTTACTGAATTTTTCTCATCCTCACAGTTTATTATTATATATGTATGTAAATAGACATTACATCCGTGTGTGTATATATTAGAGTTTTTGCCCCATTTCAGAAAGCTCTGTCAAGTATCTTTATATGAGCAGAATAATGACATTTTCTCAGAGTCAAATCTCAAAATGATTCTCTCTTGATTTTCTCACTCTCCTTTATAACTTTGGTTTTATACTCCATTAATTATTTTAACTCAGTTTGATCTCAGTGCCTTAATAAAATAAATGTACAGTTGACAAAAGAGGGTACCTCCTAGATGCACCATCGCTGGAATATGTAACCTAATGGTTTTATTGAAAAATTCTAAAATGTGTCTAAATGCAGTTAAAGTGTCATATTTGCATTTTATCAATTAGGTGAATAAAGTTTTTATATCTCATTTGTGTTTTGGTTTGTATTCTGAGTCACTGAAAATATCTTTCAGAGTCTGCAAATTTCCACTCAGCCTGTTCGGTGAGACTTGGGACCTTTACAGTGGGCGGGCCATTTGCTGTACTTTTCAGGGTAAAATCCAAACTGGCAAAATGCTTAAAATTCTTCATAGAGCAGTTGAACCTGAAAATAGGTGCCTGTTGAGAAGTACTGAACTAGCTGGCACTTTCAGTCCCCCCAGCAGCACTAAGGTGGGGGTTGTGTGTGGCTCGTGTGTTCGGAGGGGGCTTTAGGGAACACGCCCCCTTTGTCCTCATCCCGTGATCACTGTGCTGACCTGCAACTGACTGTGAATATTGTTCAACCATAATTCATTTTGTTGAATAAAGTCTCAGATCAATGTTTTTAGTTAAAAAATGCTAATAGAGGGTTTCTCTGGTGGCGCAAGCGGTTACGACGCAACCTATGAAGCTGTCCACTGCCTCTGCAGCATGAGTTCAATCCCCCAGCCAGACAGGGAGCAACCCACATGGCGCAGCAGACCTCTCCTGTCTCCCTGCTGCTCCCCTCAGCACTGTACTTCAGTCAGTCTGCCATGTTCTGTTCCCTGCTCTGTCTCTGGTGAGTCCTCTCACCCGCCCCCATACCTCTGGCCTGTACCCCAGCTCTTGTATGCATAAATAAATAAAATCTTTTTAAAAATGCTAATAGAATAGTTAATAGATAATGGAAGAATAGTGCAAAATAATTGACAACTGATCAGTGTTAGTCATAGCTACAGTAGAATGTGTAGTACTATTACTTGGTGTCTGGTTACATATTTGAGTTATCACTCAAAAATGTATTTTCCCATTATCTAAAATTATTTTATAAATCAGTTTATGAATGGTGCCATAAGCCATAAAAATATGTCAATTTTAGGCCTTAACCAAAAATTTGGATGCAATCCAGTTATATAAAAATTCCCATGAAATTTCTTTTTTTTAAAGATTTATTTATTTATTTATACAAGAACCGGGGTACAGGCCAGATGCATGCGAGGGTGAGAGGATTCACCAGAGACAGAGCAGGGAACAGAACAGGCAGACTGACGAAATAAACTGCTGAGGAGAGCAGTGGGTGTGACAGGAGAGGTCTGCCATGCCATGTGGGCCCCTCGCTGGCCGGCCAGGATCAAACCGGCACTGCAGAGGCTGTGGACAGCTTCACGGCAGGGCGCTCAACCACCTGCGCCACCAAATTTCCCATGAAATCTCTATTACAGGTACAACACTAATTTTCATCCTGACCGCTGAAGTATATTTTTCACTTAAATATTTAATAATCTCAAGACTTCCACCTCTGATCCTGATGGCGTAAAAAGACCAGCTAACCCTCCTACTACAAATAACTAGGAAACAGGAAAAAATTATGTTTTCACACAATATTCAACAGTCACCGCAGAACTATGATCCATGTGTGAAGTGGAACAGTTGTTCTTTTCTGTCTGGCAGCATGTTTGAACGAGGGAAGCAGAAAAAGGCCCCCATGCAGAACAAAGGTGAATTGAGGTGACGGGAATTAAGGTTGGAAGAGGATGAGAAAGCTGGAAGTTGGGCAAAGTTCCAACGTGGAGGAAGTTATATAAATAAAACTCCATAAATCTGCAGATACCATTTGAGACTTTGATGAACACTAAGGTATCATGCATAGGGAGAGGACAACATCGGTAAGGCAGTGAATAACCTAGGAGATGTAATAATTCTCATAAGAGTTAGAGGTGTTTTGACAGAGGGAGTCTTACTTGATCACCATGGCTTTCAGCAGAGAACCCAGAAAACTGAGACCTTAGTACTATGGTCTTCTCAACTATCATGAGAAAAAATTACTGTACACCTACAATAACAAAGTTTAAATACAAACTTGAAAATACTGAACTGAGCTGCAAGAATCTTACCTTGGCTGATAGAGACAGAGTGGGGAGCAGAACAGGCAGATCCACTGAAACCTACTGCTGAGGGGAGCAGCGGGGAGACAGGAGAGGTCTGCTACGCCCTGTGGGTAGCTCCCTGGCCGGGGATTGAACTCCTGCTGCAGTGGCTGCCAACAGTGTCTTTAACCCC